AAAAAATCCTTTCTATCACACCATTTTCAATGATATATAAATTTAATAATTCAAAATATATTTTATACATAATAACATCAATTATAATATATAATTTTTATATAATAATAAATATTTTACAAAAAACCAAATATATAAATTATCGTGTAAATTTAAATACACGATAAAAGAAAATTACTACATTCTCGTATGTAAATCATATTATCTGTTGAGGTCACTTGACTCAACTCCAATTCCCCAAATAATTGGCGCTTCTCTTTCACGCGCCTTCGTCCCGGTGGATTCGGATTTTCATTTCGTGAATATTTATGGTTGTACTTTGTGGTGTGGTACTGTACGAACGAGGCCAACGTCTCTCTCAACACTCACCGTTGATCAAATTTAAACGGTCGTGATTTCATTTATTTCATCAAGGTGGGACCTTGTAGGAGACAAGGCAATTGCTGTCACTAACGTATCTAACAGTAAATCTAACAAATGGCCATAAAAACAAACACTAAATCTAACATCCTCTAGATATTTAAAGACGAATATACCCCTTGAATGTGAAGAATTTAAGGGGGCATTACAATAATATCGCCTCTAAGGTGGTTTTTTCTTTTTATGGACGTTGGAAATTAAAATGCAAAAAAATAAAAAAAAATTATGTTTTGATTTTTATTTCATAGAGTCCTGAAGTTTTTAAATTTAACAAAAGTAAAATATTATATCAAGTTTTCTTGTTTATTAATATATTAAATTATTTATTTTAAAAAATACATCTTGAGAAAATATATTTTAATTTTTATCTTATATTATAATAAAAATATTTTTAAATTTAATTCGAGCAATATTAAAAATACATTTTCCTTGACAAAATTAAAAAAAAAAAAAAAACTTAACAAATACTTGATTAAATAATTTTGAATTGGGTTTGAAATTGGGCTAACCTGCCAAGCAACTAGCTGGTTTGGCCCAGCTACATAGTTTTTCATTAATATAGTATACTTTTTGAGTTTTATATAATTTGTGTAAAAAATGTTTATACGATTGAAACCAATATAAAGGTTTGAGGGAAATAAAAAGGCAATCCAAAATTTGCTCAAAATTAACGACAAATGCTTAGCAAATAGTTAAAAAAATTATTCTGCTTTAGTTTATGGAGAGATTAATTAAGAAGTTTCACAATAGCAAAAATTAATGAGAAACTATGCACATCAGTTTTCAACTCAGCTTGTCTATACTCTGGAAATAGCAAAAATAAAAGGGGAAATAGTGACTCCTCCCAAAAACAGAATAGTAATTATATCAGTTTTTACGGTTACTTTTGGATTTTTTGTTTTCGATTAAATCCTATGTGACTCCACTCTCTCTTTTGTCTAAAGACGTTAGTACTCGCTCTCGTTGTTGCCACGTCACTTACAGATTTCTTACAACCTTTTGCAGACTATGGTTTGACACGTGGAAATCTGTATATGCGAGTAGGCAATTGAAAGTTAAACAGTAGCAGTTTCAGTGGTGAGAAAAATGAAAATTTCTTATGACGAAGTGAAAGGGCGAGGAGGACGGGGTGATATAACGGTCAGTCTGTCACCTTCACTTTCTCTTTCTCACTCTCTCATGGTAATACTTGGGACCCACAAGGACCTTATCATTTCTCAAGTGAGTCCCACAATTGATGGGCTCCTCATCTAAAAAATTGAAATAATAACTAATTAATTAATTACACAATAACTTTGGCCACTGAAAATTTGAGAAACGGGTCTATGAATTAATTTGCTACATAAAATGTATGTACATTACTTACTAGAATAATGAAACAAAGAAAGTAATTCATTTATTAAATTTAAAAATTAAATTTTAACTATTAAATTAAATATTCAAATACAAAAGTAGTACCTATGATATTAAGAAATAGGGATAAAAAATAAAAAAAATTTAAAATTATAATATTTAATTTAATTTAAATTTTTTTATTTGATTCAAATTAAAATCAAATATTAAATATATATATTAAATTCATATAAAATTTGAATCAAGATATAAAAAAATGAATTTAATCTAATTATATATTTTAAATATTTTTAAATATTTTTAAAATAAAATAATTATTTTATATATATATTTATTTAAATATATTAAATTTTTTATTAAAATAATATTTAAATAATAAAAAAATAAAAACCAATAAACCAAATCAAACTTATAAAATTCAATTCATATTAAATCAATTTAAAAAAATTTTAATTCATGTTCGAATTAAATTTAAAAAAATTATATTATTATGTATTATTAAAAAAAAAAAAACCAAATCCTATTCAATTTCAATCGTTATCATCCCAAATAAAAAATCATCAACTTCAAAATCACTCGGTTGTCTTCCTTGTATTTTGTTTTTATCGCAATTTAGGGCAACAAAAGAATTTATAAAGTGACAGCCACAAACTGCAGTTGGCAAATTGACCCTCGAAACAATGTGCAAAGGAAAGGATGGAAGAAGAGAAAGGAACACCACACGTGCGCCAACAACCGGATGAAATAATTGAGCGCCCCACTTGAGTGGCTGGGTGGGCCCACTCTTTGGGTTTGTTATATTTTAAAAGAAAAATAAATTATGATCGAATTTAATTCGAGGAATTCTTATAATAGTTTTTATAAATGATTCTCAGCATATTAAATTGGTTTGATTGATTTTTAATTATTTTAAAAAGGTTATATTTATAAAATTTATTTTTTTATTTTTAAATTCTAATTTTTTTATAAAAAATAGCAAAAATAAAGGGGGGGTGTTTAGGATAAAGAGAAGAAGAAAGAATTATTTTGTATTGGGTTAGATTTTTTTTTATAATGATTAATTAATGAAGGAGCTAAGGCTTAAAAAAGCGGATGATTTTGTTGATTGATAAAATTTGAGAATTAGGGGAAGGGATTGTGGGTGTCACATTCTTTTTGGTCTTTCTTTGTTATCAAAATGGAAAGTACAAAAGAAAAAGGGAGAAATGAGAATGAAAATGAATGCCACACGCGAGAGAGAGAGATGATGACATGAACAATTATTTTGCTCTCAATAGATAGATAGTTAGAAAAGAAATAAAAGCAAGCAAGAAAGAAAATGCCATAATGTGAAAATGAAGTTGGATTTCAACATTTTGGGCTTATATTCGACTCAAACCCAATATTAATTGAAACCTTGTCACATTTTTTTATATATAAATTTACTAAAGAATTTGAGAATTTTTAGCTCTAAAACTTGTAAAAAATAAAAATAATAACTTTTTATATTCATTACTATCAAATTTAGTACATCTAATAATTTATATATTCATATCATATTTTACATAAAAATTACATATTACAATTTATATTAACACAAAAAATATTTATTTTGTTTTTGTTAAATTTATTTATTATTTTTTAAAAAATTTTAAATCATGTTATTTTTATATATTTTATTCATATATTTTTTTATATCGTATCATCATATCGTGTTTTAAATTATTAAATTTAAATTTTAATAAAATTATTACAATTATGTTTAAATGAAAATTATAACGATTTATTGATGAATAGTTAAAAACATCAAATATAAAAGATGATCGTAATTTGATTGTATTAGTCCTTATTTTTCTACTACAACAAGAAGTCTTGTTATTTGTCTCATCACGTTTGTTTCAACTATTTTTAGTCTCTAAAACAGTATGTTATTATTGAAAATTCAAAAATAAAATTTATCAATTTATGAGTAAATTAAGTAATTCATGAATGAAATATTAGTCCAACTAATACATTATTGTCACAACGGATTAGACAATAATATTTCTCATTGTACAACAGTTGAAAAATATGTCCTTTGACTCGTAAATAAGAGATAAAATCAAAGACTAAAGCTACAAAGTTAGGGGAACAACCTCTTAAAAGACACAACACAGTTGACACAAAGACAGAGACATTAGGTTGATACGATGTCAATGTCCTTCAAATGACAAAAACCAAATTTACGAAACCAAATCATGGAAAAAGAGATTTTGTGTGCATTGTATGAGATGCCCAGTTGGAACACGTAAATTTGTTTTTGTTTCAAAGAATTTTGTATCCGTAAAATACGGGAACATATAATATGTTAATAGAATATTAAAATTTTAATTTTAACAAATTTAAATATAAGAAAAGAAAGAAAATATGCCGCTTATATTAATGAAATTTTATGTGAAATATTTCAATTTTATTTTTTTTAAATGAATAAAATCCACAATAATTTATTTAAACTGTATCTCCAGTTACTAAATAATTTTTTTGGCAGCTGTTCCCAGCCATCAGCTGTCCAAATGTTAGGCCACACCAAGACTTATTATCCACAGGGTGGAACAAACAATCGGGGGGACCCAAATGGCAGCGGCTTTTGAACTAACTTGTCGGCTTACGCCATTGCAATTTGCTACTCCCTTTTTTTCTTTCAATTTTATGCACAAAACTCTTTCTAGGAGTGTTAGAATAAGGTTTTAAGTAAATTAATTGACTGAATTTTAATTTTTAAAATAAAAAATTTAGTTCAATTAATAAAAATAAAATAAAATAATTAGATTAATTTAATTCAAAATTAATTGAATCAATCAAAATCAACATCTCTATTTTCACGTATTTGCAATTTGTCTTAAAATATTTGCGTTTGATCTTATAAATCTTGATTCGAAACATGAAATCTTGAAAATGTATCAAATTCTTCTTATCATCACATGGTCAGTAGGAGACCCAACAGTGAGTTTTATGTTCAAAAACAAAAAATTCTTGGTCAAACAAGAATCTCTAGCAAATATCAACTATTTGAGACCCAAATTTCATTCAAGGGTTTTAGTATCAATGTCAAGACATTATACATCTACAGCAACAAATGACGAGTTGATGGTAACGAATTTTGATTCATATGAAGAAGATAGGGGGGATTGAGTTCATCCTTTCCCTGAATTTGCTTCCAATGTGAGCACATTCAAACCCTAAAGCTATAAATGCAAAGAGATTAAAACACATCAACGTGCACGAGTGCAGCAGCTTCGAACACCATTAATGGCTGCATCAACCACAAAATTAACTATTTTGGCCATGAATGCGTCATTCCCTGTAACCTACAACGGGAGGGGTAAATATTATCAGAGGGTCTGGCAAATTTTCACAGTTGTTAGAAGAATGAATGGGCAAACAGCAGTGGCTTTAATCAGGGAATTCCTGTTGGAAAGGCTCAATTAATCAGGGAATTCCCCTATTTTTCTTCCCCTTGTATACCTAACAAATATGAGCATTTAGTAAGGACAGTGTTCGCATTTGTTAGCCCAAGTACCAATTCCAACAAATGGCCTGGAATTTATTTGTTGCATGTCTCAAATGCAAGAGAAACTTAATGATGGATCAACCCGAAAAGTGGGGCTACCTGAATTATTGGACAAATGGACAAATGGACAAAGGATAATAAATTACAACAGAAAAAATTTATTAGTGCGGGGAAAAATGCTGTTTTTGCACAGGGAATTTGCTCCCTCTATCAACACCATTCTTTCACTTGAATAAATTAAAGGCATAAGAAACTGATTAACCTTGATGTGTGAAAAAAGAAAAAATAAAAAGAAAACAATAGAAATCATAATGTGGAAAAATAGCTTAGTTTCTCTCTCCATATATCTTTTCCCTTTACTTTGTTAAACTTGTAACTGAATTTTTAGACCTTCTCGTCTGTCTCGGTGGAATCTGATAACTCATCCTGTTTGTGTGATTTATTGCTTGGAGCTGAATAAATCCGCCGTTCTTTTCCTCCTGGCTTGGATGAGGCATTACCATACCAGATCATTCCTGCTACTGCAATGATCATACCCAGAATTACATGCAGATTAAGACCTTCTTTACCGAAGAAAATGAACCCTAGGATCAGGACAAGGATAGTCTTCATATGGCCAAGCACTTGGAATGATACAGCGGTAAACCTGCCAATGCAGATGAACTGGCTGAGGTTGGTCCCCACGGCAATGGTGCATGACAGGATTATGAAAAACTGCAAGAAAAGAGCATCACATATCATTTACAATAGTCATGATTACTTGCAAGCAAATCCATTAAAATTCAGATGCAAATTTGCACAGGCACTTCAGAATTTAGAGTTCACAACCATGGTCCTCCAACTTAAAAACAGTATTATGAAAAACAAAGCATGTATCAATATGCTAAGCTGATAACACAATCAATCCTACTTGTTGGAGGATTTAGCAGGAGGTAGACCGAACTATACACCCGAATACCCTGGAATTCATTGTAGAAGAACAAATTTTGGATATCATTTCTTCCAACCAAAGAGAAGGCAGGAAACTAAATGCTATTAAGAAATCGTTGACTTATTTTTTAAAGGAAAAATCATGAACAACTACATCCAATGCAAAATCATTCTTTTAAATGGAAGACAAAGTTACTCTTTCTCATTGAGATCATTTCGCCTGGTAGTTTTTAAAGCAAACTACATATCCATGAGTAAGAGAGTAATATCTACAGATAAAGCACTTCAAAAACAATGAAGCTTCATCAAGAACATTATAAAAGCACTTCACATAGCTTGATGATGGCCTATTAATGCTATGAAATTGGCTCCTTCCTTCTTCAGTCTAATATCAGGAATTTTAGTAAGCTAAATGGGTCGAAAGGAATGAAATAGCTATCCGAGGCAAGAAGAGTATTGCTCTAGAGGTATTCCTGCCCTTGCATTAGGACAGTTAGCTCGGAATCCTTGTTTAACCAGATGCAAGAATGGAAATAACCTTTCAGCATGAACACAACATTCTCAAATTATTGTTGGCAACCACAGGCCCTCTTTATGGGTCTGTAAGGTATATCCTCCTGTCCTCCTTTTTGAGCCAATTAGATGTGGCATAAGTGAGCACCAAAATAATACATTAATATGATATAGACATGCAATAGCGCCAACTTTGACAATAGATTAGATTTCTTAATTTCCTATTCAATAAGCTCATGCATATAATAACAGCCACATTTGGGACTGTCAGCTATTGCAATGACAATGAAGGACGTTTTTATGAACACTCAAAGGCTGCAGATAAAGAGTGAATCTCATTACAGATGGAAATATATCCGTAAAATTACCAATATAACTTAATTTAAAACCATAAACATATCATGTATTAAATATTTTGAATCAGCTGCAATGACTCTATGAGAATGGAGCAGTATCATTACCAACTAGATTCTAGTCAACTCTAATAAGAACCTTACCACTGATATCACAGTGTAGTCATAGGCATAAACCTTTTTCTCTGTTAACCAGTAATCCACAAAAGGACCAGTTAAAAGCAGGCTTGCAGCTTGTACTCGAGCAGTATGTCCCAATAAGTCAAAAGATCCTAAAGAATGCTTGCGTTGAAGAAAATGTACATACTGCAAAAAAAATAAAGAAGAAAAAAAAGGAAAGACCCAAAATATCAATCCATGAACAGATCTCAAACCATGACAAATGCATTCTGAACCAGGTTCAATCATAAAATTATTTGATATTACCATCCAAAATCTTCTTTGAACTTAGTGCACCTTATGTAAAATCAGAATGGTCGTGCAAAGTTACTTACATACTGCTGGAGGGCTGTGCTCCAGACTGCAATCACAGCAGCTAAAAAACCCTTGACATTGACACTCACATCTGTAACAGTACAGACGGCAACTCCAAGGAGAACTAGTACTATGCTAAGCTTTGTATCCCTCGAGTAGCGGACCTTGTCAAAAACAACTTCCAGAAAGCAAGATACTGGAATCATGCTCAGCTTTGCTATCTGAGAATAATTTTTCAACAAAATAATGTAACATAACTTCCAAAAGATTAAACATAGAAAAGAATAATAACCTAAGCAGTAAAACTGACCTGATAGAAGCCCACTGAGTTCCACATCAAACTCACATTCATTCCAACAATAGAAAAGTTTGCAAACAAGACAAACTTGAGAAGATCGGGTAATGGTAGATAAGAGTCCTGAATATAACCCAACCATCTAAGAAGAACAGTCAACAAGGTTGTTGTGGCAAAATGCAAACCCGTTAGTGTAGTAGCTGCATCACAGTAATAAATGGGACACAAAATCACGGTTGCGAGAATGCTCAGGTAAAATTTGTTAACATTTGACTTGCTTCATCAGAATTAACATATTCAAAACAAATTTATATTCTTCATATGTAAGATACTTTTCGGTATTTATAGGATTTGAGCTAGTTCTCTCTCATCCCACGAGTCTCACCCTGTCCATCCTAGGATTTAAACCCAGGACCTCCAAGATGGAGGCCAAGTTCTAATTGCTGGAGTGTACCGTTGGAGACTTTTCAAGTATAAATAGAAGAAAAAAAAGATTGCTAATGAAAGACAACTTCTATGTTATTCGACTGTAAAAAGTTCTGTTTAGTTCTTAGCCTTCATCTATTAATAAAAGCTCTCCCATTAGAAAGGCATTATACCTCTGTGTACAGGTAATGAAATACAACTTCTACTTTTTTCCGACCGTAAAAAGTTCTGTTCACTTCTTAACCTTCATCTATTAATAAAAGCTCTCCCATTAGAAAGGTGTTATACTTCTGCATACAGGTAATGCTAAAGTCTAATCTGGAATCTTCCAATCAATTTCTTATACATATGTAACCATTGAATTTTAAAAACGTGCTTGGACATATGAGATAAAATCAGATATACATATTTGCATTGACAAAATGCAACTGCAAAACATCATCAAATAACTTCAACCAACTAGATAAGTCCAGAGGGTTCTTAAGCAATATCAAGCATTAAACTTTCCACATAAATGACATTACATATCTCCAAAACAAAATTATATCGTTCTATAAAGAATGGTTAGCATAATCTGTTCATGCATATAAGAGTAACTAAGCCTTTCCCAAAATTCAGGGCCTGCTTAGATTTGGAAAGTATTTTCCATTTTTCATCTCCACTTTTACCTTAAAGATAATCAAAGAAAAAAATGAAAACAACTAAATCTGTGGAACCCTTGTTTTCTTGGTTTATGGAAAATTAAAAAAAAATTAAATAACTGTCCAACTTATTATCTTCTTTCAAATATAAAGTACAAACCAAAAGGGAAAATGAGAAATATTTTTCAAAACTAAACAGAACTTAAGCTGTTTCCATCCAAAATCTAAACCAAAAAATTGGAAGAGGAGGCTCTGTCCTAGTTTAAGGGGGTGCTTTTTTAAGATGGATTGTATGTAAAGTTTGAGATTGTCAGGCAATTAGCTGGCAATAAAAATTTCTGCTATGGGTCAAAAAACTTCCTACTTCAATAATGGATTGAAATTCTCAAAAATTATTATTGTTTAAGATATAAAAAGGAACATAGAATATAGAAAGATAATCTTTTACTCAATAAAATTTCTCTCTTTGCTTTTCCTTTTCTAATCAACAAACACAACCTGAACAAATAGGAAAACCAAATCAATGTATGTTACTTCATAATGCCACTCTGTTCCTTCCTTTAAGGTTGACCATGTGGAGGTGAACCCATAGAACAAGAACCTATGGAGGCACAATTAACATTAAGTGATTGATCTATTAGATATGTAATGCAAACGCAAAGTTTATCTATGTTTTGCAGGTAAAATGTTCATACAAAACATACCAAAACTGAAGCCATATGTAGCCATCAAGGCTTTATTGACCATGATTATACCCACAGATGTGACAACATTGAAAAACCAGGAGGCCACATCTAGAGCTGCCTTCCTATCAGCCTTGCTTACTGATGACATTTTTAGCTATAGTCCCCAACTTATCAAGCAGAGTCTTTGTTCTCAATTTTTATGCGAGCAAAAATTAAGTCAGGTGTCAAAAGACCAGGTGCTATACCTGTATCAACAAATCATTTGGAAAAGCAGAAGGTTAAAGAAAGAACAAACAAACATCCTCTTGTAATTAAGACAATGAAGAAAGCTTCATCTTTCAAAAATAAAAACAAGGAACAAATTAAAAAGCTGCAAACAATTACAACACATACATTTTCCAAAATAATTATTGGGAAAGATGAATTTGAGGGAGTTGACTTGGATTTGATTTGCTATATAGATTGTGAGAATGAAATGCACACATTATGCACAAATTAGTTAACATTCAATATATTTATATATTTAAAAGGTGTAAAAAGAAGAATTTCAAGTTCACAAATTCCTATAGGAATTTCAAATTCACAGCCAAATAGGTATCCAACAAATCCATGAATTTGAAAATAATCATGAATGTCTTATTTACATCTTCTTTATCATACAAACTATACTAAATTTGAAATCCAAATCCTTTCTTTTAAATCCGATTTACCAAATGCAACCTTATAGGAAAGTAACAATTTTCGAGGAAAAGATAGAAGGTACAATGATCTCTTCCAACTTTGGAGAGCCAGTGTTCTGTTGGGAAACCAACATTATAGAAGTAGGATTTGGAATTTAAAACTTCAAATTTATATTTTGAGAACGATTTAAAGAAGCTGGATCTGCATTTGGGCCAATTCCCCATAGAATTTTTAAAAGGGCCAAAATTAAGATGTCAAAAATTACTTTTCAAGTCAAATCCAATCCATTTAAAACTTAATCTCAAATCTATCCAATTAATAGTTTCAAATTCAATAATTTTAAGCAAGTAAACAACTTTTGATATCCAAATCCGAATTTAGGTTCCTAAAATGAAACCAAAGAAATTTATCCACTTTACAGTGAACAGCAGAGCAACCCAAATTTCAGTACTTAAGCAGTGTTAATAGCAAAAGCATCATAAAAGAAATGATGAAACAAAGAAACAAAACAAACATGGCCCCATTTTCTTTTTCTCTAAGCTTTCCTTATAACAATCTATTAACTATTTATTCCATTAAAACCTAGACAACAAACAATGAGCAAACTAGGACATATTAATTGCTCACTTTTAGTTAAAAACAACAATCAAGCAAGGGATCATAAATTGAAACCTTTACAGCTACATAAATTTGACCTGCTTGCTAAGATCTAAACTTATAAAATTAATACTGAAAACTTTCAAACTAACAATTTTTCAATTTAAAAAAAAAGAGATCGAATTCAAATTTTATGCATTTATTTGTAAGTAAGCAGATCCATCACTCTTAACATTTATTTAATTACGCTTCATTTGTAAAACATAAAAATTCACAAACAATTTCAATCCAAAAATATAAAATTAAAAAAAGTACAGTATTAAAAGAAACACAAAGAACATCAAAGCAAAATAAAAATAAAAAATAAAGTCGTAAAAGATCAAAACAACAAAGCATTAAAAGATATCGATTCAAAACATACTTGGAAAAGGAAAAGAAAATTTTATTTATTCCCACAAAATGAACGGAGCTGAAGAAAACGAACCTGAGAAGAGAAGAAGAAGAAGAAAGAAGAGAGTCCAACGCGGTCCTCTCGGGATTTGCGCTTTAATAGGAGTTTTTTATTTTATTTTATTTTTGCAGTTATAGCTTGATTTCAAATGCGTTTCCTTGTCTCGCCATGAAAGAAATGGAGAGTGAGACTTAGACTAAAGAGGAAAGAAAATAAAAATTTACCTTAATTTTTTCTTACTTAATAAATTAAAATTTTAAAAGGAAATTAAGCGGAGTGAAGATAGTAAAGCGACAGTAATGTAAAAAATCGGGATGCAAATGATTTATGATTTTCTTATGTTATATGATTGATAATTAGGAATTTGGATGATTAAGGCGGTCCATAAATGTCATTTTCTTAGTCCTTTATTTAAGATTGAATCTTTGCATAAATGTGTTTGTTTCCTTAATCAGTCATTTTCTTTCTTGGTTTCAGCATTGACAATGTGAATTATTATTGTCAGTAACATATATTATTTCCAATTATAATGAAAATGAATTCATTTATAATTTGATGGCTAGTTTACTATTTTTTTTTCTTGTCCTAATTGCTCTATTCATAATGTCAACATGCTACTCATTTTTAATGTGATTAATTTTAAATAATGATAAATCACAAATAAATTATACTTAGATGTAATTTTAATTATTAAATTTATAATTTAAATATTATATTAAATATTTCGCTTTACACATTATCTCTTTTAAAATTAGTGGAATGGAGGGTGTTTAGATGGGCCTAGCACTAGGCCTTAATGGGCCCTGCTGCCCATACAACCCATTTATTGATTAATAGCAATTATAAGCATATCAAAACTGATTAATACCAATAATAAAAAAGAAGGGAGGGAAAAGAAAAGTGGGCCGAGCCTATTGAAGCCCAACTTAAATCAGCATTCAGTTTACTAAATTCGAACAAAAATATATTATCAATTATTATATTTTATTAAAAATTAAATAAAAAATATCAAATAAACTAAATATATATCTACATATATTAAGAGTAATAACGGTTTAATTTGGATTGAATTGAATCGAACGAAATTTTATTAGTTCAATTTTATTTGATTTATTGATTTATATTTTTTTATTATATATATTATTTTAATATATTTAAGTAAATTTTGATATAAAATTATTATTTTTATTTTATAATAATTTAAAATATATAAAAATTAAAAATAATATATAATTTGATTTAATTTAATTTTTTTAATTTTTCATGTCGATCTGAATTTAATATATATTTAATATTTAAATTTGATTCAAATTAAATAAAAAAATTTAAATCAAATCTAATATTATAATTTTAAATTAATTTTATAATTTTTTTCACACTTAATATATATATATATGTTCTGTTAAAATAAATTTTAAATTAACATTTAACCGCGGGCTTAACAAACTGCGGTGGAGGTCCAATATTAGTTGTTGATAATATAAAATAGGAAAAAGAAAACGTGTGTACTAACATGTGGCGGCGGAGGGCCGAAGACGGTGGTTCCAGTAATGCAAAGGGCAAGACACGTGTATCTAACGTGGCGAAATATTCAAAGAGACAGCCTCTTAGACTATCCAGCTCATCAGCATTTTGCACACAACAGACGACACCCTCCTCTCTATGCTTTCTTTTCCTTCCTTATTACGCGCCTAACTCAATCCTCTCTGTTTTTGGGTTTTTTGGTCTTCCCTTCTTCTTTCTCTCTGTTAGGTTTTATTTTACTTTCTTTTGGGTTTTTTTTTTGTTTTTCTAAATAATTTTTAAAAAAGGCTATGTCGAAGAAGAGGAAATCCGAAGCTACGTGTCTGGATGAGGTGGTTCGGAGCATGTACGCCACCTTCTGCAGCGCGGCTAACTCGCTTTCGCTGCTTTACTCGCAGGCCATGAACTACCAGCGCCTCTCTTTCCAGGCCGGTGAACGTGACGCGACGGTTTGCTTCTATCTCTTTGTTTTATTCGATTATCTTTTTTTCTTATCTCATATCTCTGTCTCTTTATTATAATTTTCTTTTTGGTACAGGAGAAACTTTTTCAATGGATTTTGAGGCAGCAAGAAGAAGGATCAAGGGTGAAAACAGCTGATATAGTTGCTTATTTGCAGGTATCTTTTGTGGCTCTTGCTCTTATTGTTTTGATGAATCTGTTTGGTGAATGATTGTTCCTTTTCTTTAGTACCTTTCTTCGACTCAATTTTGTATCCTTTGTATTGAACTTAATGCTTCAACCAATGTTATGTTTTTGCATCATTCTGGTGAATTTAATTGGAGTGTTCTGACAGCTAAGCACATAACTGAAACGGTATGTTTGGGGTGCTTGGATCATTGGATGGAAGGGTAAAGTAGGATAGAAGAGACTATTACCAGTTTGCTGGAACTCCTAATTGATAGATGCATGATCCTGGCGGGGGTTAGAACTTAGAAGTATGTTTGGGGTTTTGACTGGAAACGAGAGTAAAGTAAGTCTGCGGGAGGATGAGGAGGATAGCATAGGTTAGAAGATACTATTATCCTTTTGCTGGATTTCCTAATTGATAGAATGATGATCCTGGATTATAAGTTGATAATGATACTTTCCTGGAAATCTATATCTGTTCAGGTTTGAACTGGTAGTGCTACTAGTTATTGTAAGGTGAGTTAGTAGGCTTAGGCTTGTGATACATCTCAGACAACTATTGCTATCTTTACTCCCAAAGGGTAAAAGTGAAAGGGTAATATGGTCTTGTTTTCTTTTTCTCTGCAATTCTGAGATCTATATTAGGAAAAACTTGCCTTATTGCTATCTGCCACTGGTAACAACATGATATGAGGTACACACGACCGCATAGTGTGTGTGTGTTTTTATACTTGAGGTTGCCAAGGATTAATCCCTGGTAACTAGAACTGAGAGGCCAGCACTATGTTAACCGACCACACAGTTGTTGGCAGCCACATAGTGTGTTGGACATGCCTGCTGTTTGAATGTACACGTTGCATCTGAGTGAAGCAAAAATAGGAGGTGTATTGTGTTATCTACTGGAAGAACATTGGTGCTTTCAAGCACAATTAACCCTCTGATTAATACTGTGTTGGACATGTCTACTGTCTTGCACCTGGTTTCTGAACTAATGAAGGACAAATATAGTTAACTTGGGGCATTAATGTATAATCAGGGTTATTTATGCAGGCCGTGTGTTGAATTAGGTTGGCTTTGACATTTCTTTGTATTTCAAACTAACATTGCATATTAAGGTGATTGAACTATCATGTCCACAACTTATTTAGTCATGCTACGCATTGTTATTTTAAAAAATATCAAGGACATGAAGATGTAGTAACCATTTCATCAATAATGGTTTTATGGCTTTGATGGTGATGATTGTTAGGCAAGATATTTCCAATTTTTAGTCCAGGACCATTGTGTTGTGTCTAGTATTTGACATGTAACATGTTGTTCGTATATGATATGTAGTTGATAGACAAACAGCTTACGTTGTTTCCTTGCAATTTTTAACGTTTTCAAAATATGGTGGAAGACAAAGAATAGTTACTTTGTATGGAAAAATTAAGTGACCTTGGAGTATTTTCTTTTTTCATGATAATTATCTTTTCCTAATTTCTGTAGAATGAGCTTGAATATGGAGCAGAGGAGTCTCCAATGTCTCCCAGGCTGCCATTTCAGCAGCAGCACCCTCAAACTGCAACCCATCTCAATACTTCAAATTCTCCTTTCTCTTCTACTCCGATTTCACCGGCAACAATTGCACAAGGAGTTTGTTCTGGGGATTACCAAGCAAAGAACTCAGCTATGGCTTTTACACTCTCCAGCCCTGTTCGGCGGAGTCTTCAGCACTACCACTTAGTTCAGGGTGGTCACCATTCAAATAACGTTGTGTCTTCTGGCAATGGACCTGGAATTAATGAGACCAATTACGCTCACCAACAAAATAGGGAAGCCAATTCCCCAAGCGCAAACGATTGCATGGACATGCATGCTGAGACTCCGGGCAATGTTTTTCCTTTCTGAAATTTCTCGCTAGTCATTTATTTTTTTATTGTTGCTAATTTTTTGGTAAAATTTCTTGTAAGGTTGGGAATCTCAAAATTCCATGCAAAATGTAATGCATGTTCAATTTTAATATATTATTATATTCATGTAATAGTGGTTTGCCTAGCTGGGGTAGACTTGTAGCGAGCCCAACCTAGCAAGAAACAACCGTTGAAAGGTTCAGAGAATAGCGTGTTAGGTTTACTAACTTCGATAACCTTGCGTTTCCGGCAAACCAGGTTGCCGATGAGCAAGGTAAAGTTGTAAAATACGAAAACAATTAAAAATCCTTTATATTTGTTTTAGGCATCCATTACTTCGCAAGGCCGAAACTGCAAGCAGCAGCTCATCTTTCCTTTCTTTTTTCGTTTATAATAATATCATTTTGAAATTTTCCCTGATAGGCCAATTTTATTAAGTTATTATTGAAATTTTGAATTATATACTTAATACTATATATATATATATATATTCTTGAAATACTATTGTAGTCAGATTTATTTTTATTTTCTAATATTTCATAGTGTTGATTGTATTTTTGGATGTATTAGATGGAAAGAAATTAGACGAAGGTTGAAGGTAAGGAAAGCTGGACTTGCAACCAAAACATTGTCAAAGGGTCGAAGTTAGTTTTTCGGGACGTGTTTCAAAATTTAAGTATGTTTACGATAGAAAAGAAAGTGAAGTGTGCTTAAGAAGTTAAAAGGGAGAGAAAATACTTAAGTTTTATATATTTGGTTTTTCTTTTATTTTATATATAAGATTAAAAGCGATGATTGGATTGAGATAATTAATAATTGATAATATGTTTATATAAAACTTGAGAAGAATTTACATAAATAATTATAAATTAGATATTAAATAAATATAAATAATATTTAATAATTTTAAATAAATTAAAAATTAAATATCTAATTTTAAAATAATATCTCGATGAACCATTAATAAAATTGTTGAATCGTGCCCTTCATTAACGTGGACAAGCCAATACTTGAAGTAAGATGACAAGAAAATTGTACGTGCATTGACGAATGACACAAAAATTGAGTGTATTAACCGAGTAAACAAACATGACACACAGCAACCAGTGTAAGGAAAAATTATACTAGTCCTAGTATTTTTATCCATAAAAAAATTTTCATTAAAATATTTTGTTTACCATATAGGCAGGCCCAATTTAAAAGTTGAAGAGGGCAGCAATAACTAAAACAGCGATGAAAGGCGGCCCATGGGACAGCTCAAAACTTTACGTCATGCTTCGTAAATTGTAATCGTCTCCTTCAAAGTGAAGCATCCAAAACCTACAATTCTTCATCTCATTCTCACCTCACAAATATAACGCATATTAATATGTAATATCTCTCTCTCTTAGGGTTTTATCTATTTATTTTTTATATTTTCTAATTTATTTTCAATAAATATAAAAATGGCTAAGAAGAGAAAATCCGATGCCACGCGCCTTGATGAGGTTGACCGGAGCATGTACACCAGCTTTTCTAGCGCTGCAAACTCCCTCTCCCAGCTTTACACTCAGGCCATGAACCACCAACGCCTGTCCTTTCAGGCCGGTGAACGTCACGCTCTGGTCCGCTCCCTAACCCTCTTTTTGTTTCGGTTTTTTTTTTCTTTTTATTTATTTAATAAATCAATTTTATGTGTAGCTGAAATCTCTTTATATATATTTGTTTGATTACAATATATAATAATAATAATAATAATAATAATAATAATAATTTACTTTTTATTTTTGTTATATTTTTACCTTTCGATCATTCGTTATTTTATATGAATTTTCTTTTGATTTGCTTATGATTTGGTTATACATTGTGGGTTTTGGTTTATGATAATTGCCTTCCTGTCAGTGTAATTTATGCATCCACTTTTGTCTTCTCAGGAGAAGCTCTATCAATGGATTCTGAGGCAGCAAGAAGAAGGGTCAAGGGCGACAACCGGTGATATACTTTCTTATTTGCAGGTTTGTTTTGTTATTTCTTGTGATTGAACTGGATCTATGCTTAGGTGCCTTTTAAAATGCTATCCATGAGTCATTGGATCATATGATTTAGACAATGCTTTAAATAATAAGTTGACCACACTGTTTTATTTAATTTTACTTCTTTCTCCGGAGGTTTGAAGAATTGAAGATTTCCGAGTTTAGCTTATTTGTTTGGTGTTACTTTTGCTTAGTTCCGTTTAGGAGAGGCAATGTTTAATCGCATTTTGTAGGAGAAAAAAAAAGGCTTACTTTGTTGTTATAATCTTTTAACTAGTGGAATTTTTGCTACCACTGGAAAGTTGATCATTTGGCTAAGAATAATGCATGTTTTGCATTTTGAGATCTTTGGAGATGATTCTGTGTGAAATACTGTAACAAACGGACTAGAGAAACTTGGTGCTAGGTATTTGACCAAATAGAATTTTGAAGATTGTGTGGGTAAGGGAAGAAACAGAATTGAAAGAGAACTTCAGAGAAGGGACCTTTCTCATTACAGATATAGAATTTGTTTCATCTGGATTTATCAACCTTTCTCCTTTCGTCTTTGAGCTTTCGCGTTTCAACAGTTCCTTTGTTTCATTTTGATTTGTTCAAATGTAGTTGGACATAAAGATCGATTTATTATTGTTATAATGAAGTGATACCTTGGAATTTTGTCTAATATTTCTGCAGAATGAGCTCGAAGATGGAGAGGAGCCTCCAATGTCCCCAAGGTTGCCATTGCAGCACCCACACTCCCAAACTGCAATACAATTGAACAATTTAGGTGCCCCTGTTTCCTTCAATCCATTTTCATCTGCAATCATTGGGCAGGGAGTTCGATCTGGTGATAACCAAGTTAAGAACTCTGTTTTCTCAAATGCCCTCTCGAGCCCTGTTCGTCGGAGCCTTCAGCACTACCACTTGGCACAGGGTGGTTATAATTCAAACAATGTTTTACCATCTGTAAACGGACAATGCAATAACGAGAACCATTCTCATCAACAAAACAGGGATGGCAATACCCCCAGCTCAAATGACTCTATGGACATGCATGCTGATGGTCCTGGCCATGTTTTTCCGTATTAAATCTGTTTGGTCAATAGTAGGATATTGTATTTTTTCTTCTGGTGAAAGTTTATTGTGTGGTTAAAAATCCTGGAATCCTCTTCATTTATAGTGCAAATTCAATTCTTGAGTTTTAATTATTATACATTTCTCAGCTTCATTTCTCATTGATTATAGTAATGATATCGATAATCTACCGTGAGATTTTGAGACGTTTTCTCAGGGTAGCTGAGGCAGCAAGGCAACTATCAACATTTCATTGGCAACAAGTGGAGTAGAGGTATTTCTTTGGCCTCCTTCAGAAAGGAAAGGTAGACAATTTCTAACCTTGAGATAAGAAAAGTTATAGGCAGTCCGGCCATGGAAATAGCCTGGAAGATTGAAGTTACCATTTCTGATGTTTTCTGCTCCTTGACTTGAAACAACATCCTAACATCTATCACCCTGTTGGTATCTCAATAACAAATTACACAATATGAACAAAAACTGCTTTACTTTCATTTCAGGTTTATAATCAATATTGTTTGTTTCCCATTCCCAATGTGGTGTTTCTGAACCTCATGAACAGAACCAACAGCAAATTTGCAAGAGGAACCTACTGATTGAGAATGCCACTAGTGCTGGTATTGTCTACGCTAGTGCTTTTGCGGGAAGAATGTAGGCCGAGATCAAAGGGTCCTAAGGAGTCTGTCTGCATTCACATTCCATTGAAAGAAGAATGTAAACAAAAATAAATAAAATGTAGCAAAAATGGCGGCATTACCTGCCGATGGAAATCAAAGTCTTAGAAGAGAAAAGCGACAAAAAAAAGGGATAATGAATTGAAGTACCCATTTGATGCCTGAGAGCCCCAGGCTGCTTTCATTGTTATATACTCGTGAAGAAAGTAGCAAGTTTGTGTCTGATTGTCGACAAGCCTGGCCTTGTGATTGAATATTGGCCTGTGAAAAGGAATTCTTGGAATGTCTTATGCATGTCATAACTCAAAATAATCCAACCTTAAATTCTAAATCCTAATAAACAAAATATAAGTGCTTCGAAAAAAATTTCAAATATATGGAAGGTGACAATTATAATAAAAATTTAGCAAACCTCTGTTGGATTGGGATGTTTGAATGACTTAGAACTGGTGTACTGGCTGTCGGCATGAGAATAAGCATTTCCACCCGAACCTACAGCATCTTTGCCTAAAGAAGAAAACTTTTGAAATGGAAATGCATGGCATGTATCTTCAGCATCCAAAATTGAGGAATGTGAGTCCTGCTGTGGCGGCCTTGGATTTTGAGAGGGATTCATTTGACCAGCAAGGAAAGCATCAAATGAATCAAAGATTAATTGAGATGATTGCAAGCCGGCAATGCCCCCATTTGATTTGGGATCACAATTACCAAACTTGCCTTGCATTGATGCTTCTGACAGCAGGCCTCCTATGCTAATGTTAGTTAGACTGTCTGCCCACAATGCCAATGATTGTCCGATGCTATTATCTATTCTCACTTCATTTTCCTAACAGATGAAAAAAGCACTTTCAGAAAGGAAAATTCTTTGACATTAAACTTATTGCAACCTTGTACTCTTTTGGACATAAAAGTTTTAGTTTTGCGCTAAGTTCACCATAATCAAATAACTTATGGTGTGATCCCAAAGCATTACCTCATAAGCCTGCAAAATTGTTATCATCAGAATAAAGGGGTAAATATAAGAGGCAAAATTCACATGATCATCTAATATATTGCCATGCGCATGTCTTTATTGTAACTTGTAACCTTATTAAATGTTTGATCCAGGTTACTCACAATGCACTGCTGCCAAAAATAACATAGAAAAAGACATTTACAATACTAATTCTCTAGGTGAGCAAATAATCAGAAAACTGGACATAGACAATGTACCATGGAATCAATTCCTCCATTAGATGGCATCTTCTCAGCAACAATTGCATTTGTTTCTCCACTCATAATGATTGGTTTTTCAGACTCTTCACTTGTTACCTCAGGTTTTTCACCATTTCCATATGTATTCTGCATGTGAGTATTGCAACCTTTCTGTACATCTTCAAGTTTTGAGGAGGCTTTTAAGGGAGCTGATACAGAAGCCCTTCCCAAGGTTTTTGTTTCAAGATCAGACATCCACCCATACCTTCAAAGTACAATTGGTCACGGTATAAGAACAAACTTCTAGGAGACAACAAACTTAATGTATAAAAGGAGAGTCCAAAAATAAAGAATAAGAAAGGTAATCAAGTATTGGACCTTAAGCGAAACACAGCTGGGCTTCCGATTGTTGCATAGACATCCCTGGCACTGATGCAAATGTCATTTCTCGTCCATCCGTAACCGGCCAGATTTTCTGCTATATATGGGAAAAGCATGGGCTCCCCAACAGCAATGCTTGAACTGCCCCACTTACTATCAAGGTGCTTAAGTACAGACGATATCCTCTTTCTAGCACTTAAAGTCAGTTCCAAGTATGGATGAAACCCATCCTAGAGGAAAGAATAGTTAACCTCAGCCTATGCATATCTTATAAAACGTTCTTAAACTGTTTAAAATGTTTTAATTTTTAAAGTTCTACCTTTTCTAATCCTAGACGAGTGCTTTCATCTATTGGAAAAAGCTGCAACTTGAGCTTGGCGGAAGGATGAAGTCTTTCTTTTGTATTAAGGTCAAGTACAGGTGACGTTGTAATTTCTTCCACAGAACTTGTAGTTGTAGTTGCAAACCTCAAAGATAGTGCTTCACCTGAGCCAGGAGGTGATGAATGCTCATCCTTTTCAATTTTTCCTAAATTAGAAGATAAAAAACTTATAGTTAAAAGCACAATTCAAGCACATCAAATTATGAAACACGGTCAGCATTCATACTTAAAAAGATAAATTTCCACAAGACTAGTATAAAAACACAGGTCCAATGTCCTGCCTGTTGCTTTCTGAAACTGCTGCCCAACACTTCTCTTTCTAGATTTATCAACTTCATTACAACCTACGCTCGCATTAATCTCTGCATACGATTCCAAGGCCTTTACCCTTCTCTTTCTGATAGTTCCCATGTCGCCAAAACTTTCCTATCAACCAAACCGATTGTAAACAAGATAAAACTGAAAAAGTAATTTATCAAAAATATGCACCGACACTGCAGATAAAAATCAACACGAAAAACCAGCTGAAACCCTATTTCTATGAGGATCTGCCACCGCTAGCTTTCAATTAAAAATCAGTGCATAACATTTCAATCTCCAAAAACAAAAATTAAAAACAAACCCTCTAAATTCCAACTTCAAACAAGACCTATTTAGTTTTAGCGTTTCGGTTTCATTGGAGCATTTAGAGTTTAGCATTTTAGAACTAACAACAGAGGCAAAGAAAAAACCAAACCTTTGAACTGCAAGTTAAAGCAAAGCCAAAGCGGATTCAATTAAATTGCCCAAGAGTCAAACACTAGTTCTCAAATTAGGGTTACAAGAGAAGATATTAAAGCATAACGAACTTGTGCAATTAACTGCAAATAAATAAGGATCTAATCAAAGCATCTAAATTTAAATTACAAATCATCTGAAATTTTCGAGTAAGTTACATAAGGATTGATCTTTAGTAACAGATGTTGAAATTTAAGGATAGAAATCAAAACGAAAATCTTGGTAATTAAAGTTGAACAATTTGAAAATAAATTTCAAAAACAAGAGTTTTACTCTCACCTGAATCGAATCAGAGCAGAGAGAGGGAGAGAGAGAGAAATTTGAAAGTGGTGATAAGAATTGGCGGGAATTTGAAGTTCTCCGAGAAAATTTTTAAGGGCGTGTTTGTTTCGGCAAAAAGTTGAAAATAGAGTTCAAAGCGGAATGCCGCCAAATCATTTTATACTTGGAGACCACGGCCGTTTCAGCTATGGCCACGGCTGAAAGGTGGCCCGCCCACTCATTTGGTAGTCCATTTAAGGTCAATAGCCTGGCCCAAATCAGTTTTTAGCAGACTTTGCCAGGCTCTAAGCAACATGTTTTAAGTCAGGTCCAAGTTTTATAGGCCCTTCCCGGCTTGGCCAGGGCAATAATTTAATTAATAAAAAATTATTTTTATTTAATTTTAATTTTAAAATACATTCAAAATATTAAATTTTCTAATATTTTAAATATTTTTTAAAAAAATTTTAAGCTTCTTGAATTCATTGAACTAAGTCACAAGCAAAGATTTTGAAAGGTCAATTGGACTTGATCAATTATAATTACCTTTAATTTAAGATTATAAGATCGATTGATTTGGATCAAATTTTGATAATAAAAAATTTTGAACCAACTCCACCATTGCTATCAAAAGAAAGTCCGGCTTTGTTTATTTTTTATTTTATTCTATGAATAAAATGCTTTAGTTAACTTCAATACAAGAATATTGTTTGTATTTTTGTAAGATAATTATCCATTACTTTGATATTAAAAACTTAAATATTATTATGTGAAGCCGACAAATTTTTTAATGCTGCAATCTAAATTGGTCTATTCATATTTTACATTTAACAATACGAATTAAATAATTATGATTTAAAATTTTGAGATTAATTTAATTAAGATACTCGTTTTTTTAAATATGATATATGATAAATTAAATTATTTTTTTATCTAAAGTTACAATCTTTTTGTATAAACAAAAATTATTGTTTACCTTGATTTTCAGATTTTGTTTCCTAAGATTAAATTAACTTACAATAAAAATATTTTTAAAATTTTAATATTAATGAATATCAAATTTCTTCAAGCATCAATATGGCTGAAAAAAAAATTGGTTGCTTGCTTGAAGGTTATGCTCATGATTATCATACTTGGGGGGACCATTGGTTGGAAATTTCATCATTTTATTTATTTTTTATTTATTTATAAAAACTGGAACCCGCCAATGTTAGTTTACTCATTTAATAACAAAATTTTGAAAAAAAAAACTATCAAATTCCTTGTTAACACAGTCAAGGCATTGAAAATGGAGCAGCAAAATTGAACTTATCCTTTTGTTCGATTTTTACCACAATTCCAAACAAATGCCACCCTGAAGGTCGGTCGGCTAGGTACTTCCCTTTCTTTTCACATTGCAATATTGTTCCATCTTTTCATCAATGCCATCTAGCAGTTACCGGAGCATCGATTCCCGGCGAGCAACTGAGGCCTTGTAGCAGTTATGGGATGTGTTCAGGGCAAGTCTACTTCAACCTACTCATCTTCTCGGGGACTAGAGAAGCTTAAACAAGAATATCGTTATGCTAAGAGAGGGAATGAAGTGCAGAAATTGCCAGGGAAGGGTAGTAATGCAATGTTGGTTAGATATGAAAGGGACAATAAAGATGTTGGCATGGTTAATGGGGCTAATGGAAATGGCGAAAAGGCGGTTGCTAGGGAAGTGGAGACAGTCATGAAGAATGGTGCTAATGGAAATGTTTCTAAAAGAAATGTGCCAAGGAAGATTGGAGGTGACGAGCTTGTTAGTGGATGGCCTAAATGGCTTGTTGATAATATCCCTGGTGAGGTTTTGTCTGGTTTGGTTCCAAGGAGTGCTGATTCCTATGATAAGCTTGCCAAGGTAAGTATTAATGTTTTCCAGGACATTGATGATTGGATTGTTAGAGAATTGTGTATTGTTGTTGGGTTCTTTGGCAACCCGGTCAGACAAACTTCATGAAACTGGACACCTATTCGATCATTTTTGCAGGTGGGGCAAGGAACTTATAGCAATGTGTACAAAGCTCGAGACAAGGACACTGGAAAGATTGTTGCTTTGAAGAAGGTCCGTTTTAACACTTCAGAGCCTGAGAGTGTTAAATTTATGGCAAGAGAGATTATGATACTTCAAAAGCTAAACCATCCAAATGTTATCAGCCTTGAAGGACTAGCCACTTCAAGGATGCAGTACAGTCTTTATCTGGTTTTCGATCTCATGCAGTCAGACTTAACCAAAGTTATCTCCCGTCCAGGCGAGCGGCTCACTGAACCCCAGGTTGGAATCTCTCTAACTCTAACTGCTTTCTGAAGGTCCAAATTTCATCTGATGAACTCAGAATTGACAAGATTTTCATTTCATGAAAGTTTGGAATGTCTGAAACAGTATCAATCAGAAAGTATTGCAAGAAAAGATCAAAGAAAAAGTGGGGAGTAATATATATGAAAAATGATCAATAAGCATACATCAATTAGATTTAATTTATTGCTTATATAGCTTTGTTCTAGGAAATGAGTAATATCTTTAGATAGTCTATATATTTTTCAGATTGAGTGGATGAAATTTGTTGCTATAATATTAGTGTTTTCCATGCAGATCAAGTGTTACATGCAACAGCTGCTATCAGGTCTCCAGCACTGTCATGAAAGAGGAATCTTGCACCGAGACATTAAAGGTTCCAACCTGTTGATAGACAGGGACGGGGTGTTGAAAATAGCAGATTTTGGTCTTGCCAATACATTCAATCCCAAATCAAATCGCCCACTTACGAGCCGGGTTGTAACACTTTGGTACAGAGCTCCAGAGCTACTATTAGGTTCTACAGATTATGGTGTTGGGATTGATCTCTGGAGTGCAGGATGCCTGTTAGCTGAGATGTTTGTTGGAAGACCAATTATGCCTGGTAGGACAGAGGTAAACATTCATTCACATCACTATTTGTTCTTAGATTAAGGGAATGGTTTAAACACCAATGAAGGAATATAATATTATTGTTATGAATGAATGTGAGCAACCTAGAGAAAAAAAAAAAAAAAGCACTTTTCATTCCTATATATTTATATTAGTACTTTGCAGCAATGCATTATCTCAAATGGAAATCAAAAAGTGCTTAGTAATAACAATGATTGATCACTAGACCTCTGGTCATAGTATATCATTGTTGCAACATCTAATGTCTTCTTAACACTTATGCACTTACTATCTTATAATTTATAAAGTGAAATAAAAGATAGAAAATGAAAAAAGATGGCCGTAAGAGAGGGCCAGAGGGTGCAACAACAGCTGAATGTATAAATTAACTGTCATGCATTTAATCCTCACTCATGTTTTTTTGGTTAGGGTAAAAATGTGATGATCTTATGGTCGACATGTTATTCAGTCTATTAAGCTTCTTGTGCATTCAGGTAGAGCAGCTTCATCGAATTTTTAAGCTTTGTGGTTCGCCCTCAGAGGACTACTGGAAAAAGATGAAGCTACCAGCAAGCTTTCGGCCTCCACAGCAGTACAAGCCTGGATATCTAGATGCATTTGGAGACTTCCCATATTCATCATTTGGTCTCCTGACAATGCTTCTAGCTCTGGACCCATCATATCGTGGCACTGCAGCTTCTGCGCTTCAGAGTGAAGTAAGTTTTAAAAAAAAACACTTTCTACATAATTATTTCTTAATCTGGTATGATGCCTCTTAATCTTTTTGTCTGAACAATTCTCTGGTATACTGATTACTGAAAAAGGGCTTTAAGAGTTTACACATTTAAATGTTTTTGCTGCTGAGCTCAAAAACTCTCAGAAACCAAGGAAGCTTAGGACTTAGGAGGGTTATGAGCTGAAACAATTTGTACAAATTTTGCATGCTGCAGCTAAGAATAAAAATTCTTTCTAAATGGACAGCTTGATTCTTGCTAACTCAGCTAAATTTAAAAAATTGTTTAGCATGGATACATTGGATGTATGACAAAATTCTTGCCCCATGCTATCCTCAAATATTAACTTATTTTGTGAAAGTTGAAGGTATGGCAAATTCTTCACCCTGAGTTCTAGCTCAATTACTTAATTTGGCATGGCAAATCATTTCCTGAACTGATTAATCAGCATGTTTGTCCAAGAAACGTTATTACTTAATGAATTCATTATCGTTCATTCTTGCAAACAGCCTTAACTGAATTAATTATGAAAGATTGTATCCTAGAATAGTTATGAAGTTTTAAAATCGATTGTTGAAAATCGCTCTCTACTAGCTGCTTAGTTTCCATATTTTCACTTCATTCCTTTCCTTATTGGCTATCTTCTTCTTTGTCAGCACTTCCCTTTCTCTTCCTTTAGCAGCTATATTCTTCATCTTTCTTCCTCTTCATTTAATTGTTTAATTCAACCTTTCAGCCTTGCGCTCCTATGGTAGTTGTTAGTTTCATCTCTTCATCAGTTAATCCGATAACATGTATTAATTGTGTTTATTAAGGCTTGTATTTTCCCTGGAATTGGTGCACCTGGAGTCTTAACTTCTTGAGATTTGTCCATTTAGTGCCTAAAGAAGTAAATAGATTCATCTCCTTCTCATTTTTGTGAGCTTTTTAACTTTCAATGATCAGGAATCTAATTGAATGAAGACTCAAAAAGGGAATTTGTGCATTGTACTGGGACATACATAACAACCAGAAAAAAATTGCAAAATTGTGTTGCTGAATATCCTGACCTGCTGCTTCATATTATCCTCTTTGTTTGCAGTTCTTTTCTTCAAGTCCATTGGCATGTGACCTGTCAGGTCTACCAGTAATGTATAAAGGGGAGGATGAACCATCTAAAACCAAAGATCGGAAGAAGTATGTCAGTTTTTAAATATGAGAATTTGATTTCAAAACATATTGACAAGTTTTATATTGTGATATTGATTTGCTGCTTATACTTTAATGGAGAGGAAAGCTTTTCAATTCAGACAAACATTTCATTGTACTGAATTCCTTGGAATTCTAACACACTAAGCAGGCATATTTTACTGATTGTGCGTTTCAATATTGAAGGCACAGAACTTCAAAAACAAAGCAATCTTATAGAAAGAAACATGAAGGTCATGAGGCAAAGGACCATATGACAGAACAAAAGAAAGATGACACTGATACTTCCAGGGGGGTAAAAAGTTGCTCTTTAATTTCTGTTCACTCCTTAAAATCGCATTTCAATTGGAATTGAATGCAACAACGATTCAATTCTATTTCATTTGCCAATGAAAAGTTTTCCCAAGGTTGAATTAATATACAAAACATCCAACTGTTTCTATCAAAATGCATTGCATACGTGGTTATGTTTTCATTCTAGCTGCCACTTACTGTTTCCATCAAAGATTTCTATCAACATGGTATTGAGTCATCATACAAACTAACCTGTCGAGTTTTGGCAAAACTTAAATGAAATTCAGGCTGAAGGAACAACTTATTTGAGGTTAGATTTACCCTCACTGAATTACCTACTAAAGCAAAATACAGCTAAGAAACTATGAGCAATGTTACTGGAGGCAACTTAAGTAAGAAAAACTGCCTGCTTGTGAAAAGTATAATCTACTACTATAATTGATTTGCTCCTGTCTTGTAGAAGTCACAAAATTTTAGTTTCATCCTTCAAGAGAAGCTTCTGAAATTCCTTTCTGGTGCTTCTCTAGACAAATAGATACGAGGAAGAATTGATTGACACCACGAATTAAACTAAATTTACCCTTTTGTTTTGCTTTTTCTTCAACTGAGCAAACTAGATCCAATTGAGATTGTCATTTAGTTTGTAGTCTATTTGATAAAAAGAGAAAATAGTTGCCATGCATTTACTGCATCCATGAATGTCTTTCTTTTTATCTTACCAGGAGAAGCTGAAAGGACATGAAACATGTACTAGTGTAAGCAGCAGTTCTTATAGTGTGAAGACAATCAGGCATGGAGAGAGCCTATCTGCATCGCTTTCTCCTATTCTACGTTCCAATGCAAAAATAGCTCCAAGAACTGAGGCTCATCCTAATGCTACCCAGAACATTCAGAATTTCGCTCTTTTACACGCTTCCATAGCAGATATCATGAAAAACAAACTTGGCAACTCTCAACACCGCAGGTCTATCTCTACATTGGATTTGCGAACCCTTGATCTAGAGAAGATATCAAAACTTTACGGTGTGGATCAAGAGTAGGTGATGGGGTATGATCTCTCTATTGAGCTCAAAGTATTATGTAATATGAATCAGTAATATATTCAGCTTTATGCCTGAATTTTTCCTTTATGATTTGTGTTATAGATAAATAAACACTGTTGACTTATTGTTTAGTCATATAATAAAAGTTATTGCAACAAACCATTTACTTAGAACATTTAATGCATTTAAACCCAATAAGAAATATTAGCTGTTAGTTTATTGTATTCGAATTGTCTAGTTGCCGATTTATGACAATCCTCAATAGGCTTTCTGTCCATGAGTCAAACAAACTTTTTTTTTTTTAATTGTGGATGTGAATAAAGCAAACTTGCGGAAGAAATTCAATTCAGGGAATGGAGATTATTATCTATTGCAGGGTATGCAAACTTGAAACAGAACAAGTTTTATAAAACAAATTACTGAAGAGTGTTGGCTTCAACATACATAGGTACTCAGATCAAACAAAGGAAGAATGCAAATGCACAGACTGGCAGTGAGTGCCAAGATTAATTACATTGGTTTGGAGTGAGGCTGACTTGCTGCTACAAGTTACACGACTAAACCATCTTTTCATATTTTACAACAAGAAGATGGCATAACAAGGAGAAATGGGAGCGTAGCTAGCTCAGGCTGATGCAGACGGACATAAGAAAATATACATTAATTCCATTTCAGAGTGAAAATTCAGAAGTCATAGAAGTCGCCAGTGAACTTGGTCTTAATCCACTTGAAGCTATTGCGCAAAGATGATTTGAGTTTACCTTCGGTAGTATACATATTATAAGAGGCCACCCTCTTTCTTCTCTTGAGCTCTGGATTGCCACAAGTGTCTAACACATCAGCCTTGCTGCCGGAAATAGGACCATTGAAACTGTATGATTTGGTCCGGTCCTCCAAGCTCCGCCGAACCTCCAAGTACCCTGAAAACGATTTGCTCTTCTCCATGGTGAATTCAGATATCTATATATGAGGAAGTTAGGTCAAGCCTTCTCCTCCATCTTATATAGTTATATATATAGCAACTAATAAGTAATGTATTATCAAGCAGAAATATCCAAGGTGCACGTTAGTGCGGTCTGCATGGGCATTGGTGTGGCATAAACAATAGAATCATCCAGATTCTTTTGCGGGGTGGTTGATTTGATTGGATGGAAAAATATAACCTATAAAATCATGGATTATTTAAATGTTTTTAGAAGATATTTCAAATCTTAAAATGAGGAAGATTAAAATTATAAAATTAAAAAATATACATTAGTACTTTTTTTTTTTGTAGCTGCCCTAATATGAAGTGAAGTTTTATTTGAACATGTGTAATTCTAGCATTGATCCTGTGGATAAATATTAAACATGAAATTTGCACCCAAAAAAAAATTGTGAATCTGTTTTCAAATTTCCTATATGCTTATTATTGTAATAGGATGGAGAGAGTATCAAGTGGAAAAAACTGTTAAACAAAGATAAGATAGGCCCGGCCACCACTAACTTCTTGGAGAGTGGTGGGGAGTGGAGACTAAGAACTCGACAATTTTTTTTTTTTTTTTTTGCAACAAAGAATTGGTGGGATTTGGTAAGTGGCACATTCCCACCATAACCATAACCATCACTTGTGGGCGGCGGGGCCAAACTACGTCCAAAACTCCAAATTTAAATTAATATACCATGAAATAATTGCTACTTGCCCCCCACCCTTTTAAAGAGTATTCCAGCAAGGATTCCTCAACTAGCATTATTTCAACAATTTTGCGATTAATATTTAGCAAAGATGTGACATAACACATTTTTCTCCCTCTAAATGCCACTCAAGCAAAAGGGAAGAAAGAGAGAAAGAAAGAAGAATGAAGCAAGCATGTTTGTCTATTTTTGCCTATAAGAAAATATACACTGAGTTTGAGAAGTTTACTATTATTACTGTCTGAAGAAATCGGCACCATCCTCAACATCATCAGTTTTGATACTTCCGCTCTGAGCCATGAGTATTCTATACACTCTCTTCGAACAAACCTCGCCTAACCTTCTGTCATTACCTAGTAATCCTTCTATCACCAAGTCCTTGAGCAGAAATTCCTTTTCATGCACCTGCCATTACAATACAAAAGTAAAACAAGACTTGACTAATGGTCCTGAAATTGGAGAAAGGAAATAAAGAGAGAGGATTGAAGATAAAGAAATGGAACTTGTCTACCATCCTTTCATTTGGTTGAGGGACAGGAATGAAGTGAACAAGTTTAACAGAACAGTAGAAATTAGTAAATGTTCTTTTTCTTAAATAGGATGAATTTCTGATTCCATTGACATTTCATGCAAGGGTTTTCCAGGATTTGTAAGTAAGGTTGAAATCCCCTCCATTATCCTCTGCTTTCTAGTTCACTTATCATTACCATTCACATTTGTGGGACCCCAATCATTTGTTCTAGAACCTACATATTTGAATGGTAAAGATGAACAAATTGGAAAGCAATGGATGTGAGTTGAACCCTTGAAGAAATGCCATTAATCCTCACAATTCTTCCCCAAGATAAATACATTCTTCACAGCATGATTTTGAAAGAAAAGCTAATTCGGCCAAATCCCTCACATATCCACGCTTTCAACCAGTGAAAAATGTAAGTTTATTTCTGTTTAGAATTTCCCCTTCCACCCTCCTCTTCCCTTCCACGTCTTGATGGTACATAAAAGAGAGTAAGTTAAAGCATTAATTCTCCCATCAGATTAATTACGCCCTTGATATAGCTCACTCTAAAATATTCCATATATAGCAAATCTTAGGCCCTCACAAACCATATATGCAACCAAAGGTGCAGAAGTAAACTATCATGAAACTCAGAGAGGTTAACACCAAAATCTTCCATGCTACGGTCAGTAAGCAGATTAGCTTCCAAGAACAAAAGCTACTCAAAATTGAATGAGATGTTGTCCAATCATAATGTAACATCAAAGGGAAAAGCTTTATATACCGGCGCAAATTGCAAATACAAAGGTGGCTATTTTGCTTGGACTTACTGATTTAGTAGGGTCCATGTAAACACGCAAAAGAGATTTCATGGTAGGGTACTTTCTCAATATGGCAAGAGCAAATCGTGGCTGGACCTTTGGGATAGCTAGCAAAGCTTTTAACCTGGATGTGAAAAGTAAAATCAGCAAAAAAAATGCAATGCCCAAAGAGAAAGAAGTAATTGCAGTCAATGAAGGTTTAAAGTAGATTATAATTGAAGAAAAATACAGTGAACTATGAAGAAAAACATTAACTACTTTAAACAATTTGTAGCATCTGATGTTTTCTCAACTAAATAATAAGCCGGAGTCATATTTTGATTCTGAACAATTAAGGCATCACATCACCAAAATGTAAACAAGATAAAAATCAAATTAGTACAAAACCTTTGTCACCTCCATTAAAAATGTATAAAGTTATATTACTCTCTAAAACCAAATTTTCTTTTCTCCAGGATGGACAGTTAAGGACGAAAATAGAAACAAATCAAGCACACAAGCGCTTGAGATTTTACTCACCACAGGTTCCCTTTTATTAAATTCTTGTCAACAAAGTCCTTAGAAATAAGGGCTCCATTAGCACTTACAGAGAGTCTTGTTAACTTCTTTCTGCAAGTAAATAAATAAAGTATATTCAGATTATTGCTCAGTGAAGGTATTGAAAATATTTGAACAGACTAGGACACGAACATATATATAGAGCTTGCCAATTATAGAAAAGAGGCCACTGAACTTCTTGCAAAGCAAGCAAAGAATGTAGATATAATTCTGAAAAGTTAGAGGGTATGAGAAATGTAATTATTAATTACTAAATTCTCGTAAAATAATTTTAGAACTAGTTCCAACCACCTAAGAATGGTGAGAAATTCTTCCTTCAGTTTCCAAAATGAACTCAAATTTACAAAAAACACTGGCCACATGAGTTGCTTGCAAGAAAATATACCCTTAAGTAACCAGTATGTGTCCAAACATCCTCGTGATTCGAAGCGTGTGACATGTTAATAATTGGATATGGTAAACAGCAACCAAAAGTGATGACATAATTAAAGTTTTGCTGCAATTGAAAAGTTATAAATGAGATTAACCTTGACTTGCCATACCAATTAAGTTCTTATTCTGCACTAATACAAATAAAACTACAATTATCCTTCCTTCTAACAAGATAGTTGTCTCATTGATGCAATTTTATCACCAAATGATGTATTCTCCTGTATATAGAGGGGTACAAATTAGGAACTCATATCATGCATATAAAAATGCTGGCTAGGTATTGGATGTTGGTTTAAATATTCCACTATTAAAATAATAATTGTAAGCATTTTCGGCACAAAAGCTGTAAGCTAATCATATGGCCAATATGACTCAGACAGACCAATACATCTGACCTGCTTCAAGATAGAATGATATGAATATTGAGATGGTATAAGATTTTCTTTTGAAAATGATGTAGGCCATTACATTACAACATTGATAAGTATGCCCATATAAATACAGCATTAGACTTAGAGGATTGGATGGCCAATAGTAGATTCCACACAACCAAAATTTTAGATTTTTTGTGAATGATAGTTGTGAGTTACCCTACTGAAAGTGATAGAAACTAGTACAACTGCTTGATTAATACAATTTAAGGTAATCACCAGGCATGGCACATGTCAATTACCGGACAACCAGTACATATTATGGATTTCAGGAATTACTTTACAAAGAGAAAGACAATCACTATTTATTCACAACCTATAACAAGAGCATGGTAAGGCAAAAAAAAATCATGTAATGGATCATCCAAAGTTTTTTAAGTCCCCTGCTCAATGAGGCCGAAACCCCCATTAGGTGACCACAATACTATTACTTTTCTCTATGCTATAAGTGAACTTGAATGATTTACATTGAAATTCATTTTAAAATCTCGAGTGGTACCTAAATTGACAAGAGGCCAGACTGCATGTCAAACCAACAATGTGTTCAGCCACTTCAGCTTCATCTGCACATTGCCTAGAGTGTATCCTAGTATAATAAGTGGTCAGTTTTGCTAGCACCTATAAGATAAATTTTCAGACACAAAATGAGATACAATATGATGTTAAAAAAATAGAGAAGCTCAAACAACAAGATTATTAGTTGTGATTCAATGCATATGCAATTAGAAGTTTGACCTCTTCAACCGGTGGACGTCTCCAACCACTATCATTTGCAGGGTTCTTGTATTGTTCATTTTCCCTAAAACATTGCCAAGATTATTTGATTTTATCACAAGGTTGCACCATCATGAAGTAAATAGCCAACAAAACCAGTGAATCACTTCATTATCGAATATAAGGAGCAAAAGAAAACACAAAGATGCTGAAACATGTATGGAAGTACCACTTCCCTATGATTGTTGGTATAAACTGGGAAAACTATTTTTTTATATGATATAAATAATGAAAAGAAAGTTCAAAAGGATAATCACATATGCATTGATAAAAGAAAAGTTACAGGAGTATTTAAATTTGAAATTTTCGATAAAGTTTATGAACATTTCCTAGGTCTATATGGTTTCATCCAATCTAGAATTTTAAGGCATTTTCTCTAGCAACAAAAATATTTATCAGGAGAGCATAAATGATATCATGCAATTATTCACAACCTCATCTTTAAGGCAAAAGAAAATACTGCCTTCCTTCAAAGAAATGGTACAACTTTGCAAGTAATATTATCAAAATAGGGGAAGGGAAAAAGGGAAGATAAAATACAAATGGGAAATGGCTAACAACAAGAACCATAAAACAATACAATAGCCTTGTAGCATGAGAACCACAGCTAAAAGGCACAAAGAAATCATCAAACATACAAGAGAGAGGAAGTACAGAACCTTCTAAAACATAAAGGGTTGAACATCTATATGAAGGTCAAGTTCAGCAACTCTCACCTTTTATTAATGTATGCCATTAGTTTATTTGTCAGATAGCAGACTGTATAAGATGGGTATTTACTTCGGACCCTAGAAACGTGATCGAGGAGTGTGTCATTAGTTACTAGATCACAAAACTCTGCAGCCTCATATACAACTAATACATATTGAACCTCTAGTCCTTCGGGAGAAAGCTGCAAAAGGAAACACAGATGATCTATGTCAAGATACAGTTAGCAAGGTTATGTGCCAAGAATTGAACAATGTCCAACTGAAAGGTAGAAAAAGCAAAACTTCCAACTTGGAAATTCAGTCTATTTAGAGAGTCGGTTGTAGAGGAACTATTTTTGCCTGAAATTATCAGTCACAGAAATAGCAATATATTTTTGCACCTTAGCAGTACTAACCTACTATTGAGTCACATTTTACAGTCCAGGTTCAGCCATGAAAGGTCTAGGTGAGCTTAATGTGTCTAAAGTTATAAAAGGTAAGCCTAGACAGGATGGCTAGGTGATAAAGGCTACACAAAAACTAAAACCTCATGCTACTAAACAGTTAGCACCACCATATCAAACTATTAACAAAAACTTTGAAGTAAATAAATGGGGAAAAGAAAAGAAGCAGAACTAATTTAAAAGCACAATGTGACTTAGGCCATGGATGGTTAATGCAATATGATATGTTCCGCATAAGATAAGAAATCAACTCTAACCCACAAGGGTGAAGATGAATCAAAATCTGACCATATAGAATTATGAGTTCACTTAATCTGAGCCACTGGCATAAAATTTCAAATTTGCATAATGGCCAGAGATTTGGATGAAGGATATTAAAGGCATACATATGAGAGTAAACTACAACGAGAAAGACTGTTTAGGATATCAGAATTTGCAAAACTTCATCCAACCTATTACCTGTGAAATGTGTTCGGGAACTGTCATGGTCCATACAATTGATTTTTCAATTGGATTTGATGTTATGCGATACGTAAGGCCTTTATCAGCAAACCTTGAAATTAAATGTCCTACATAACGAAGCTAGAGAACTTCTCAGCATATAACCAGATCAGAAAAGTAAAGGCATAAGTCAAATACTAGCATGAAAAATCCAAAACATCAACTATGCCCTTACCACCTATTGATCCCAGTTCAACCACCTTAGTGTCAATTTCAGCTACAATAGATTTTAGTGCAAACTTTCCTTTTTCCCATTTCTGCCTTTCTTTCTGCAATTTTTTTAATTCTGCAGCTTCAGCTTTCAGAGCTGCTTTTTGCAACTTCTCTTGCTGCATGATAGGTTTTAATCAGTTACTTATGAACACAAAACCAAAAAGAAGCTAAAACCCTTTTTTAGAACATTAAAAAAGTACTAACCTCTTTCTTTAGCTTCTTTTCTTCCAACATATGAATTCGCTCCTCCTTTGTCATCTTCTTTTTTACAGCTGCTCCATGAGTATTACTTTTCTTATCAGAATTGGCTTTCGTTTTTCTTTTCTGATTTTGTGCATTATCCATCTGCTCCATGCTACAATTTTCTTTGTCTAGATTATCATTTACCTGATCCAACATCATCAAAGTATCTGTTTAGTACAGCAGTTATCAATTCCTAAAACCCTAAATCTCCCTAAAGTCCTGCAAAATCTTGTTGAACTTATAAAATTTAAATAGATGAGCAAGTGTCTTCAAGTTAGGTCTGTGTGTGAGCATGTGTGCACAAGAGAGAGAGAGAGAGAGAGAGAGAGGGTTGTTCATAATCTCTTTTCAAAGCGTAGTTCTGATGTGATTTTTTTAAAATAAAGTAAGATATAGGTTCAACTTTATTAAGTGCATAAAACATATATCAATTTCTGTATTCCATTTTGCTATGGTTTGACAATTTAGAAATAGCAAGATCGCAACACTTTTGGCTATTTCAGAAGCTGAATGATGCACCATTTTATAATCATACCTCAAGAGGAAGTAGCAGATCAACATCATCTGGCCTATAAATTGGCTGAGTAGAACTTTCCTTGCACATTTGGATTAGATTAGGGCTCCCTGAAAAACAAACTTCCTGTAACTTCCATTAACATAAAAGAAAATAGATTCCAAACTACAGTATATGCTTCCTTTTGCATTTTCAAAATCACAGCAAGGTTTCAAGAATCAGACAATCACATAAAATATATATGAAAAAAAATATCAACAAACCTAGATGAGATTCATAATCAACAAATCTAGAAGGCCATTCTAACTCCTGGGACTCATCAATGTCAGAACCCTTCAATCCCTTCTCCTGTTCATTGTCCCCTCTAGAACCGCTTTCAGACTCATTATCAGATTCCAAACATATCAATCTGTTTATTCCTGTTAGGAAAATGATAAGCAAAAAGGCAAGCGGTGGAGACCCATTAGCGTTTATTTTTAAACAACAAAGGACAGAACAAAATCAAATAGAAAATCAGATTATCACTCAAAACAAGCCAAAATTACCAAAATTATATAATTTTCATTTCAAATTAAAATTAAAATGAATAATAAAACCCAAACTACAGCCCTAACATTAAACCGAACTTCAACGAAAAACAAATGGAAGTAAAGGGGAAAGGAACAGACCAGAGAGCTTGCGATCTTCAAGTGGAGGATCCAAAACCCTAACGGAAGGGCCAGCATTGGAGACCCTGACGACCGAAGGCTCGGACATCGGAGTCTCGGCCACGATAGAAGGAGTGGAACAGGAGGTGAAGGCGGGGCCCAACGAGGTTTTTTCAGGGGTAGGGTCATCGTCGAGGACCAGAACTGGAGGGAAAAGACGGTCCGGTTCCATTCTAGGCTTCTTTGAGATGGATGGCAGTGGGGTATTTGGGTCTTCTTCATCGGATAGGATGATTGGATCCGACATTGAAGCTACTGTACGCTGCTAATTGGACTGATTTGGGGAAGTTTTGTAGTTTGCTTGGCTTCGAATAAGCGCGGGATCCTTGAAGGGAAAGTTGTGTTTGGTAATGGGAATTAAGTTATTTCTGGGCTGGTTTAGATAGAACTTAGGGCTTCCACAAAAGGCTCAGAGCCCAAATTTTAGTAGTAATCTATCCGTCCTGGATTTTGGGCCAAAATTTTTGTTTGGATAAAAGGCATTTAAAAAAAAAAAATAGAGTGAAAGAAAAAAGTTTTGATTGTATAAAAAGACATTAGCATATTGAAATCTTTAAAATTTTAAAATCTAAGCTACTTGAATAAGAAAATATAATAATTTTATTTTTTATGTAAAAACTTTATAATATATAAAAATAAATAATTTTATTTCCTTCATCTTAAAATTTAACTCATAATTTCAATACAGAATCTTTAAGTTCTAATTGCAAAATGTCCTTTGGGGATATAGTAATTTTTTGAGATAGTAAAATCTAAATAATAAAAATAGGTAAAAATAATAATAACAAACAGCCAAATGAAATTATAAGTTATTGAGGTTGTAAAATCCACAATTTCCATTTTGAATCATTTTTAATTAATTTTTGGATACAAAATCAGTTGCAATTTTAATTTAATTTGAATATTTTTAATGAAAAGTTTATCACAAGCTTTTAGTTCGTTGCCTATTAAAAAAAAATTAATAATGAACGTGTAAAAAGCTAAAATAATGTATCGTAAACGTTAAAATTAAAAAATTTCTCTGAAACAGAAATATTTTATTTATTAGTAATAAAAAAAAAGTTGAGTAAATTAGTTTAATAAATTAATATTTTGCAATATAAAATTCTCAAGAAATATTAATTAATTGAATAATTTTCAATTGAAGAAATTGATGAACGAGTTGTTGGATGGAGTGTCAAATGTCACGTGAAAGAAAGGGAAAGCGAGAACCCCATTTCCTGCCTTTGGTTGCTTCTTTGCTGCATGGTACTCGGTACTTGCCTTTGTCCACCGCCCAACCCTATGTATATCCAACACATTCACGTGAGTTGTGCCCTTATATTTTTTCTTTGTCTTCAATATTATTACACCTTTCATAAGGAAGGATTAACTAGTTTATTATGCCTAAAATTTCTTACTATTAATCCAATGAAAGTCCAATGTAATACAAATTATTAAAAAAATCCGATATTAAATATTTTTTGCATCTAATTAATAAATACGTAATCCATCACATAATTATATTGTGATCATTGTGATTAAGTTTGGGCAACAAAATTTTGATCTAAAAATCATTTTAAAAAAAAAAGAAGAACCCTTTGCATTGACAATGAAAGCGTGAGGGACGCCGGGTTGGTGCACGTGATGGACCATGGGTTCCTACAGCTTCGGCTCATGCCAGACCACAACATAAATGGAACAATCACCTGTTCTAAAGGATCCTTTCAAGTCATTTTATGTGATTTTTCTGTCTATTCATGCCTGCCATGGCATGCCAGCCCCTCATGGCTGGACATGACGAGTTTCGATTCCATACGCGTCATGAGTTGAGAAATAGAGGTGACGGTGGCCCTAGCTAGGGTCGGGATCGAGAATGAATTTGGTTAAGGATTAAGACATGGTCACAATCCTCCCATCCACTTACATCTCGAGGTTGTCATGGTTTTGGGCACAAGGTAGCCCCAATCACATTTATATTGTCTCCCTTGACATACCAACCCTTTTGATTTGAAGCATTGCTTGTTTAATCACTGCCTGGACCATTATCCGTAGAGCTTTTAAATCGCCACTGTTTTTGATCACTTGGGTGCACCAAGAAATACAAAATTTGTGTTGTTTTTTTCCTTTCAAGTCAACCATGGGGGAAAGCTATCTAAGATCTTATCATTATTTTGTAATAGTAATTCTACTTCTGATTCCTTACTTTTTCATTATTACATGATTGAAAGTTTAATAATGTTTTCATTTCGTATCAAATATATAACAAATCACATACATTGCACATAGACCTTAGCTGACTAACCCATTTTTATCTTTTGATATTGGATTATTATCGAGTAAAGATTCTCATAATTGTAATCGTATAATAACTAGGTTTTTTTTTTTAATTTTATTTGTAGAGTTTAAAATTTTTACTAGGCCATGCAAATGTAAGTGAAGCCAGCCTTCACCATGTATGAATGATAGAAGTCTGATTAAATTAGTTTTTTTTTTTTTTCATTATTTTCAATGATTTATACTTCCTTTTAATAATGCAATGAGTTGCTGGCTGCTATTGATCAGTGTGTCATCAACAGGGAAATAAAATTAAGAAACATGTTATACTAGGAAAAGTTAAAAATATCATGTCACAAAGATCTGTATTTGGATTTAATGGTTAAAATTGGTAGGTTTCTTGCAGCATTCAAGGGACCCCCAAGTTGTAGGAGAAATTGCAGAGCAATATTTTCAAAGTTTTTGGTGCTGCAGGATGGTGGCTGGGTTCACCCTGAGCTGGCTAAATTGGCCTTGTTAGACACCAGACATGTGGGCTCAAAAAGATAGGGCTTAAACAGTACAGACCAGAGCCATCACTTCCATTTTGCAAATCATTGATCATTCCACTAATGATGTTTGAAATAAAAAACCATTAACTTTGAATTTTCAAGCAGCTTCCAAGAAATTGGAGGGGTTCTACTAATACCTTATCAGGATCCACTTCATCAAAATCCAAAAGAATTTATGCAACCACAACCTCAGGAAGATCTGCACAAAAATTTAGTTGCAAAAGAAAATGAACAGAATCAAACATAATCTTTGTTTCATTGCAACAACAAAGCCTGAAAATTGCCTGTATTACTCTGCCTTAAAATGTCTCCATCTCAAGGCCTTGATTAGCCGAATAAATCATGTTTAATGTATGTTCATTTTGAGGACAAGGAGGACCACTTCAGCTGATAATTTTGATCTCCCTTCACGTGATTTTTTGTACATGAAATTGTCGATCATCCAATCTGAAAATGATTGCAGCCCCACCTGGTGTTGGATTTTCTCCCACCATGAATTAATGAATTGTTTTCTCGTATGATTAATTAGCAAAAATCACGATCTAATCACTAAACAGTTCGACTGTGATTAAAAAACAGGACATTCACTTGCCGCAGCAATGCATATATTTTTCTCCAAAGGGTCATCTTACCTTGTTACATTTGTGCATGATTCATGAACATTGGCAGTTGCCATATTTATGTCTTGTTACAAATTCTGCTGGCCCTTCGGCAATGCAGGGCCATTACTGTTGCACTGTGGTATATAGGAAAATCAGGTCCACAAATCCGTCCTGCTAGAAGCTGTTCCCCGCTCCCTGTTTCTTGATACAAGTTGAGTAAGCAAAATAGAGAAGATGAGACCAACTAAACAAAGAAAAATAGAGCAAAATTTTATATGAAAGATGAATATTTGAGGTTGTTATTTCTATCTGAAGTTCTTAAATTGTCAAGCTCTATCTCATCATAAACCTGTTAATTCACTTTCTTTTCAATGTTAATTTGTTCAAGATTAATTGGAGAATGGTTTTTTATCAACCCAACAAGGGTAAAACAGGGGAATTTTCCTTATGATCCCTCCCTCTTGGAATAATCTAAAATGATAATTATTGCAAGGCCCCTTGGAATTTTATTAGGCTTAATACCCAAATTATCCCTTAAACTCACTTTAAGATGCAAACTAGTTTTGACTTTTTATTGCATGAAATTAAGATTATAGACTTTTATTTTATTATAATTATACTCATTAAATCTTAAAATTAGATAAATAACATCCAATTTATAGAAATTTTAAAATAGCATTCTCTTAAATATTTGTTATTTAACTCATCTAAATGAATCTAAGTAAGCATTTTTTACATTTTTTACAACTTAAATGATCCATTTAAAAAATCAAACAAAAAATTTGAGTAGTTTATATCATCAAGGTTCTAATTACAATAAAATAAAAGTTTATAACTTTAATTTAATGCAATAAAAGATTAAGGGTTTGTTTGCATTTTAAAATAAAGTTTAAGGGCTTATTTGGGTATTAGACCATTTTATTATTACTTCTCCCCTGGGCTTTCTACTATGAGGATACATTTACCAACTTAACCATAACAGTCCAAAAGACACCTTCAGTAGTACTTCTAATGGTTAACTGGAGCTTTCTTTTCTGAGCCTCATGGCAATATGTTCATGCCAAAGACAGCAGGAAACATTGATGTTGACTCTGAAAGACCACATTACTCAAGTAGAGTTTCTACAAAATTTGATGTCATTTTCGATTAATACACCACTTGTCGATCCATGTATGAGATAGCCAGTACTAATTTGCTTCTATATAAGTGAAGGCAAACTTGAACATGTTGCTCACAGCAAAGAGATTGAAATAAACCATAAGAAAAAAAAAAGGAAAAAAAAAATACTAAGATGGCTAGGGTTCTTTGCAAGCGTCTTCTTGTTGTTGCTATTTTCCTCTTTTTCTTCATCTCCACAACGGCTAGAGGTAAATTTTGAATTCCCATTTGAATTGTATATCTTTAATAAGTTCAGTATTAATTTCATATGCAGGAGTCATTGTCTTAACTTTTTGTTTTTGTTTTTCAGCAAGAAATATGCCAGTGGCTAAGGAAACTCAGAAAGTCCATGATGATCGGGTGCATATAACAGCAACAGAAGATCATGGAGCGCCTAATATTAATGTTGATGAGTTAGTATCTATGGACTACACTCCAGCAACCAGGAAGCCTCCAATCCATAACTAATTAGCAAAATTTTGTAAAACAAGTTCTAGCTAGTTTAGTTCTTGTTTCCTTTTTCTTAACTTTATAAATTTGAGTGTACACATTTATGCATAGTAAGAAGGATAAAACGATGAAAAAAATTATTTACAAATATGACCAGAATCGTAGACATTCACATACCTCTAGGGTTTATGCAATTTTTTTTTTTTTTTGTAAATAAGTCATGCAAGTTTTCAATATATAGTAGCTATAGAGATGCCTTGGATTGTATCAGGATCTTTTAGTAATGGAGACATAAAAACCTACCTGTTTCAATCATTAAACTGAAAATCAATCTACCAGGCTATGCTTCCCCACCTGAAATATATTGGTGCAATAGCAGGACAAGGGACAAAATTGACAGAAACCTTCTGCATGAAACATATATATCAAGCAGCAAATAACAAAAGACAGCCCAAGTTTTCATAAATTCTGCTGCATAAAATTGTATGATCAGTTTTGGATCAGGTTTATTGATGATCATGATACCAATTTGGAAATTAAACCCTCGAAAGTTCACAAAAAAAAAAAAAAACCCTTGTCTTGTATAAAATTTAGAGAAATAAAGGTAAACCGAACTCGTCAGAATTATGATTAGAGATCACAGTAAACAACAAATGCCTATTGCAATAAAGAAAAATTAGTTACAAACAAACCTTGCTTGCACTGCCATGGAAAGTTCAATGCACTGTTATGATATGGTCTTTTCCAGCCAGAGAGTGGGAAATTTTTCATGCTTTAAAATATCAATTTAATTTAAATAAACTATTAATCATATTCTAACTGTTGCCACGCGACAAGGAAAAATAATATAGCATTTGATTGATATGAAATGTAGAATATGAGCCCTGCTGCTTCAATGGTTAATGATGAAAGTTCATTTGAGAAAAGTATATATGTATAATAATCTCTTTGCAGTCCTTTTTCCTCACTTGACTCTAAATGGTTTCGGTTTAGATGAAGTAAGCCAAAGTTTTGATGATTGTTTTCAACATAATATAGCTTCCTAGACCGACTAGTTTTTCCCCAAACTGACAATAATTAAGCCTATGTTTGGGGACTTCGAGGGAAACCGAAGGAAATGGAGGGAGAGACAAAGGACAGGGAAATGAGAAGGGGTGATTCTGGTTATTTAGATCACTTTAAAAAGAACAGGAGAGGAAAAGAGCGTCAAATTAAGAAACTTTTGGCTTGACTCTCATCCCTTATTTCTTTCCTAAATCCCACATTTTTTCCTTCCAAATAAGGGTAACAATAAAAAAAAAAAAAGCCTATGATTAAGAGATATGATCCAATTTAATTAAGTTATATAGGTGTATGGTGTTGAGAAAATCCTAGAAATTTGAGTTTGTTATGCGTTTGATGTGCTCCTGGTTAGAAATGGAGGGCTAGCAACAGCAAGACATGATGGAGGCCATCTACATAAAAAGAACCAACAAAAGCCACTAGCCACAATCTTTTCAACAAGACATAAATGTTATACACAATAATTAACACATGAAAAGATACATATATACAAAAAGTGGAAAATTTCAACGAAGTTTCAGTGCATCAATCAACGCCATATAATTAGTAATATGTTGGTTTGATGATGCAAAATTAATGGTGATGCCAACAGTAAACGAAGCAGAAAGATCGGCATCTGCATTTTCTGGTTTGTTAAGGTCAAAATCTGGCAGGACCGTCAGTGGTGATGCTTAGCCAAAGACACACACAAGATAGAGAGAGTTACAGGCACCGGAGTTTGGAAGAGACCCTACGGATCAATGCAAGTTAGTATGATAATATATATTGTGTAGGAAAACATAGAAAGATATAGAAAGTATAGAAACAAATGGACGAGACAGCATTGGTAAAATGGCAGGCGGGGATAAGAAAAGGAAATGGATGTTTCTTTGTTGGCTGCGGCTGGTGTTTTCATGTGTCATAAAAGAACTCTTCAATGGAAGTCGTTGGGAGCCAAGTATATGAAGTGGAACTGTATGTTTTACCTTTAATTTTCAGAGTAAAAGTCTTTCAAATTGCCTCTAATTGCGGAATCGGGGAGGGTAGTTATTTTGATCTGTAATACTTCAAAATTGTTCATCTAATTTATGCAAAAAGAATTAACCAGTTTTTTGCAGAAATCCCCAGCCTCATGAACCCACATCAATTTTCCCTCTTTGTTTATTTTGCATCTTTCTAAGATTACGAAAAATTGTTGGAATTATCCTTAGAAAATGAAACAAAGAGGAAATGTCAACTAGAAATCATTTATTTATCCGAAGTTAAGGAAAATGTTATGCCATTGTGTTTACTTGAAAATAGATCTGTATACGGCAGGCTACCCAGGCTAGATTTGGGCTGTACTCTAAACATGAGTTTTAGAATTAGAAATCAGGCTCGAAATTTTATTTTATTAAATTTTTTAAATTTAATTTTAATAAATATTTTAAAAATTTAAGTTTCTAAATACGATGAATCTTTTGAAAGATCAATTCAGAATAACTCATGGATAGATCTATTCATGAAGCATGAGTAAATATATAATAAATCAAAATTAAAGGATATAAAACACATGAAGCAAATAATAAAAGAACATGCTTAATTGAAATTTAAAAAAAATTAAAATCTAATAACAACAAAATTTAGGTTTCTGTTTTAAAAAAAATTCAGAAAAAATTATAATAATACGATCAATTTAACCAGCCCAATTAGTTGTCCATTGAAAAGCCCAATTAGTGGCAGAAATTGGGGAATAATTGGGGCATTAGGGTTCAGGGTTTTTATGTTTTACAGGCGAAGCTTGAAGACTCCGGCAACGAGCTTTTGCTGATTAGCAGAGAAAAAAAATGAGAGGATTACAGCTCCCGTTAAACCAAACGCAAAGAGTAAGACTTCAAAGAGCATTCGAAAAGCTTCATTCTCTCTCGTCTAAGGCCAATTCCGACGCTTCTGTTACCGTCGCCGATGCTATTCCTGTCAACTACGAAGACGCTTTTCTCAAGTACCCCTAAACCCCCCAAATTCGACTAACTAATTGATTTTTTCGTTGTATTTGATATTTTAAAAATTTTTTGAAGGGGACATGGAACAATGGACCTCAACGGCGAATTGGTGGCAACTGTCTGTGGCGTGGTGGAGGGCGTCAACAAACTGGTCTATGTACGCGCCTTACGCGCTAGGTACAAGCCAGAGGTTGGGGATATTGTAGTGGGGCGTGTAGTGGAGGTAAGACCTATAAACTTCTTTTTTTTTTGGAAACAAACCTAATTGATTATACTATTTTTGTAATTTTGTTTTTTTGGATTTTCAGGTTGCTCAAAAGCGGTGGAGATGGGAAATTAATTTCAGCCAAGACGCAGTTTTAATGCTTTCTTCGATGAACATGCCTGATGGTATTCAGGTAACTTGTATATCCCTTGTAGCATTACCATTAGATTGTGTTCAGCAGAAAATTATTGAGCATATATATACTGAAATTCCATTGAGGTAGGATGATTAATTGGGGGTTTAGCTGTCCCTCTATATCCTTAGACTAGCAAAACCTTTTAGTTGAGCTTCCATTGTTGGTTTGATGCTTCAGAATGTTCATTGATGTAAAACCATGTCGGAAGTTGTTCATAGGGTTTGAACTGAATAACAGTTATAAGTTCATCATTGCTTGTTTATTTTGATTAGTTCAAACTAACTCGCGGATTTATAAGGAGTATGTTTCAGCGTGGTTATAATGGGGGAAATGTATGCCAGCTGCATTTTGATGCCGCAGAGTCGCTAATCTCTGAGTTGTCTATCTGTTTTTGCGTTTGCTGCTTACAAATTTTCCTACTTTAAGTTTCGCTCTATTGATTTCAGAGGCGGCGAACTGCTTTGGATGAACTCAACATGCGTAGTATTTTTGAAGAGAATGATGTTGTCTGTGTAAGTCCAGTGGAGCACTGATTTATTTATTGTTTTATACTATTCATAGATCAACATGCTATATAAGAAGAAATAGAAGAAAATAATAAACATTTCAGTGTTAGAAATAACATTCTTTTTTCTCAGGCTGAGGTTCCTAATTTCCAGCATGATGGCAGCTTACAACTGCAGGCAAGAAGTCAGAAATACGGAAAGGTATCTAGTTAGAAAGTTTTTGTTTATTCCTTCTGCTTTGGCATAGCTTATTGTTTACAATCTCTGTTTATCTCTAACATAAGCAATATGGGACAGAAGAATGAGACTATATACCAAGTTTTGTGTTAATGGGTGATGAAAAAAATAATGACTTAATCAGAATAAAAAGGAGGGAATTATGCTTTAGCTGTTCTCTGTTTGTGTCATTTCTTTCTGTCTCTACACTTTGCCAAGTCAGAACTTTCCTAGAATAGGAAGTTATATCTCAGCAAGAAAAATCTTTATGTTGCAATGTACACTGACAAGGTACATTCTTTGCATTTTGTTACCTTGCCTAAATTTTATTGCTTTAGTTCTCTTTGCATGTCCATACAATGCTGTTGCTGACTGAATTGATGTGTATACAGCTTGAGAAGGGCCAGTTACTCATAATTGATCCTTACCTGGTGAAGAAAAGCAAACTGCATTTCCATTACCTTGAACAGTTTGGCGTTGACTTGATACTTGGACGAAATGGATTCATATGGGTTGGCGAACATGTTGAAGCCAGAGACAGTGTGTTAGTGAATCAACCTAGTAGTTCTGAACAATCCACAGTTCCTGAAGAAAAAAACCAAGCTTATACCCCTCTAGAGATGAGGCAGAACATATGCAGAATTGCAAATGCTGTTCGTGTATTGTCTACTTTAGGTTTCAATGTAGATGCAGATTTGATCATGGAGACAGTTGAGTTGAGCAGCGCTGTAAATATTGATATACATGACATGCTTGGATCAGAATTTCATGTTCTGGTTGCAGAAAAGGAAGCTGTACATAGAAGCTTGATGACAAAGAGGATAAGATAATCCGGGATTCATCTGTAAACCAAGTGTGAGCTCTCTTTCACGAAACATTACTAAATGTTATAAATATCATTGCTTTTCCTCATACTGGTGCATTTTACTCAAACAAATAACTTTCCTCTATTTCTTGAAAATAAATTAGTTTTTCCTCTATTCATTAAGGCCAAGTTTTTGTATGATTAAACAAACTGATTAAATCAACATCTCAGAGGGATTGCTAAAACACGTACTAATCAACCATTTCAAATTTGAATTAAGGTACAATTAAGGCCTTGATCTAGAGGCATGACAAAAACACCTAGTTTACATAAACTGCACGTACAAATAAATTGGAAAACACCAAAGTTTTGCTTATAGCATGGACACCAACATAAAAGTCCAAGCCAAGGAGAGTCCAATGCTCTTTAAAGCTGCACTTTCTGCTTTAGGACAGATAGCTAAACAAAGAAAATAGAATTCAAGTACCAAAATTGGATCAGCATTGTTTAATAGTAAAGACCGTATATAAAATGCTTGTGATCAACAAAAACGAAAATTATGTTCAAAGTTTCGGACATCCAAGGAAGGATTAAAGCAGCAAACGCTCTCGATCCTGGCGATAGCGAAAGCTCTTAGGCGGCCACTGCGAATGTTTTGAGAAACAAGCCTTTGGATTTGTCATCATCAACCGAACTATCAAAACATCATTAAAATGAGTTAACAAATATCAAGTGAAGATAGTAGTAGAGTACTACAATAGCTTATAAGTGACAAAAAGGATTCAATTAATGGAGTAACTAAGAAAACACTAAATAAAATAGTAGCTTTTTTAAGCACTAAAATACAAAATCACTGATTTAGGAGTCTTAAAAAGGTCTCAGACATCCAAGGAAGGATTGAAGCAGCACAAGCTCTCAAGCCTGGCGAAGGCGAAAGCTCTTAGGCGGCCACTGCGAATGTTTTGAGAAACAAGCCTTTGAAGTTGTCATCATTGACCTTATTTACCGTCTCCATAAACTTAACAAACCTCATATGTTACAATTACACATACCATTTCTCACACTTAACACTAAAACACTTCAAATTTAAATTACCATGACACTTTGATAATCCAAATTAAGGTCATTGTTGAAAATTGAACTTACCCATGTCAGGTAATGCATCCAGAATCAACTTAATGCAAACAAATTTCACAACACCCAAAATCCCAATCCAAAGCACCTTAAAAAGATAAATTATAGCCGCTAATTCCACAAATAATTGAATTTTTACAACTTAACCAATTCAAGTAGAAAAAGCTAAAGCAATCAGAGACTGACAGAATATTCAGGAACATGAAAAATTGGTAGAGTGATTTGGGTCGATCAAGCATAAAATAGATTGAGATAATGCGTTGCCATTTTGCAAATTAAGATATAAATAAAAAAGAGTGAAAGAAGGGTCTCAGACATCCAAGGAAGGAGTGAAACAGCAGAAGCTCTCAAGCCCGGCGAGAGGCGAAAGCTCTCAGGCGGCCACTGCGAATGTTCATTGAGAAACAAGCCTTTGGATTTATCATCATCGACCCAATCTTCTTTTCAACTATTTTATCAAACTAAATAAAATTATTAAAAACGAAAAACACCCAACAAATAAAATGAAGTAAAGAAACGAAATTGAGCAATGGAAGGCTCAGGGAGACCGATGAGAATACAAGAACGAGGAAAAGGGCTTATAAAGAGAATTGAGCTTAGGGTTTTAGCCGTTTTAATGAATTAGGGTTTCTATTACAGGTTTACAGATATGAACGGCTAAGATTCGTCGGGTTATCGATGTAAATTTCGGGTCACGGGTCACCCCATATTTTTGGGCTTAAACTAATTCATGATTTATGGGCTTTAGTAGAAGCTCGTGTGAAAGAGAGAACCCATGCTTGAATTGAATGGGCTCAATTCAACTTGGAAATATTGGTTTTTTTATTTTTTACTTTTTCATGTAAGTATAAATATGAATTTAAAATATGTAAAGTAGATTTCAAAAATCACAATTAACGTATAATTTTAATAATTATCTTAATTTTAAAACATTTTTATGCTTTTTTCTTTACTTTATTATGCATTTTTCTTGCTTTACATTTTTAATATTGAGTTTAGTAATAATTTTTCAAAAAATAATTAATATCATTAATGGTACTTAAATTATAATTAAATATACAACATAGGATTGAACTTAAAAATTCTTTAACGTGTTATCTAAATATGAAACTATTAATTAATATGATACCCATCATTAACATAATTAACTCTAAAGTATCACACATGACGATAAATAATTCTAAAAATATTATATTAATTAAAAAATTTACAATTTAAATATTATATTAAATATTTTTAAAATTTAAATATCATATTAAATTTTTTTATAATTTAAAATTTATTTTCTTATAAAACATATAACTTAAAATCAATTAACAACAAGTAAAGAGGCTCAATTTGAATATAAGACTACAACATACTAAAAATTTATTAAATGTGAGATAATACTACACTAAAAAATTTCTATCACGCGTAAGCAAATATGGAATAAGCCTTCAACATGACTAATTAAAAAAAGATAATAGAAAGAAAATTTTGATTTTGATATCATATAAAACATCAAACTTAAAACTAATTGATAGTAAATAAAGAAATCCAATGATAAAACTCAATTTGAATATAAGATTACAAAATATTAAAAATTTATTAGATATTAAATAATACCACACAAACAAATACTATCGAAAACTATCTTAACATTTATTTTTTATGGAATCTATTTTATTTTTAATAAGAAAAAATCCAAAGATATTTGTTCAATCGTCAAGTCTCTAAAGCCAAAAAAATATATATTGTATCTAATAATATAAAATTAATGATTAAAAGTTATATATTTGAGATAATTTTAATAAGAGATTATCAATTAAATTTAAATCTAAAATTTTTATGTAAAAGATTAACAATACTTGTTAATTGAGTCAAGTATTAAGATTGAGATCCTTGTGATAGTCCTAAGGTTTTGTCAAACATCAACCTACACGTATTTATATTATCTGGAGGCCAAGATAAGGTTAAAGGAATGGAAGATATAACTAAAAAGCACTTTAATCATAGAAAGGGAGAGGAAAAGAAAGAACAAAGTTATTAGAGATAACTCTGTCCGGGCCCATGGTTTGTTCTTGGAAGCTGAATTTAAGATTAAGATCACTTCAATCTTGGAAACGCGATAGCTCGAAGTAACATGGGAAATCCACGTCTGATACACGTACGTCTTCACCTCTCTTTCACTGACACAACAAAACTTCTTTGCGGAGACGCAAGGAACAACCTCTCCCGTCAAGCTTCCTCCTGCTTTTTAACCATTTTTTTTTAATTCAGTTCACACGGTTTTGTTAGATTCGTACCGTTCTCTGTCTCTTCAATTTCATTAAAAACTGCTAAAACCAAAGGGCCCCTCCCGTTCAATCCCAATCCTTTTATCATCTCCAATTTGGGCTGTCCTTTCTGGCTACATTACACAATCCTGATTTTGAGCAATCAGAAATAATTTATATAACCATATTTAACTTTCATTAACCCTATTATGTTAAAAATATATATATATATATATATGGTTTGAAAATATAGGACTATGGTTGTAAGAAATTATTGCGTTTGACTTCTCTTCCATACTAAACACTAGCATCCATTTGAAGTTTTATTAGACGCACGGGACACTTGAGAAAAATAAGTTCTGAACCTTTCAATATTGCCCCTCCCAACAAGTAAGAATCCAAGTCGGTTTCAATAATGGAGTTGAATTCCCTCCCATTGAGTCTAAACTTCAAGATCTTAATAAAAAAATAAGTCGTTAGTTATCGTTTTAGTAATAAAAAAGAGATTTAATATCTTGAAGTTTTATATTAAAATATCATTTTACGTTCAATTTGTGAGTTATATATTGAGGTGTTAGTTAACTTACTTATTTGGCTTATTTCATTAAAATATTATTTTAATAGGATTTATGAAATTTAATTTTAATCATAATTTTTACTTTTATATCGTATGTGTAATTTCATTCGAAGAAAAAAAAGTCACTAATTCCTAAAATATAATTAGTACAAAAGAAAACATCGAATCCGTCAAAAATAGAAAAAGGTAATGACAATAGTGGTAACAAAAGGGTCATGCAATGACCAAAAAGCCAAAAATTATTAGTAAAGAAGGACACTATCTTGTGGTTGATGTGTAATGACTAGAATCTGATGACCAAGCATTTACCGAAGAATCTCCAACACCGCCACCTTGACTACTACCCAAGTTGAGGTGATGACCCGACGTTTGAATCGGGAAAACACGAGGATATGAAGTCGGTGGTGAAGATGAAGAAGGTGAAAAAGAAGACAAGGAAGAAGATTGTGCATGTGAACCTACAGAAGTTGACAAAAATAGTTGGTCGTATGGATTCATAGACTTTTTCTGCTGCTGCTACTGTTGTTGTGTTGGAAAATTGCCGCTGGAACCCGAAAAAACCTGAGAATAGTCAAAATAGCCCCCGGAATCTTGAGAGTTTTGAACCAAGTAATGAGATTGAGAGTGAACGATTGGCTCAGTTGACGTTGGGATGGACAAAAGGGTGTTCGGAGAATCAGAAATGGGCAAGTGGGTTGTTGTTGTTGTTGGATTAATGTGGGGAGGTGATACGAGTTTGACGTTTTCAGGGAAGTTGAGCTTGGCTTTGTTGCCTCTGAAGCGTAGAGCTGCTTCATCGTAGGCTCTGGCTGCAGCCTCAGCTGTCTCGAATGTGCCTAACCAAACTCTAGCAGCTTTGAAGGGGTCTCTTATCTCTGCTGCCCACTTGCCCCATGGCCTCTGTCTCACGCCTCTGTATCTCCTCCTTGGCTCTTCTCTGTTGTTCTCATTGATCTTATATTCATATGTTGGGATCAATTCTGCTGGGGTGTTTGCCTCTGTCACTGCATTTACATAATAGAAATTTTGTAAGAAAAACAAAAAAAGAAATATTAATAATAGTATATGTGAAAGTCTA